AAAAAATAAATAAAAATATTTATCTGAATTTTTTTACCTTTATTTATTAAAAAATCGATTAATTCGGTCAGTTCGGTTATCAATTTTAAAAATAAAAAATCAACTAAATTAATTAATTTAACCTATTTAAAAAATTGATTATAACTAAAATCGAATAAACCAAATCGATTCAATCAAATTCACTTGATTTCAGACGGTCTAGTCAGTTCAAACTGACTTTTGCTCACCCCTACCTGCATAATACAGTCATATTGTTGTGAAAAATGCAAATCAAGACCAAGGTCACAAAGTTGGCAAATAGAATTAAGGCAAGATTAGGAACAAGATAAGTGTCAGATATACATAGTTTTGAGGTTTTAGTATTATCAATGTGGCTAGCTTTTAAGATAGATCCATTTGCTATTTTAATTATTAGACCATTAGGTATAAGTATTTTGCTTTTAAACAAAGAAACATCAGCAGTCATATGATTTTCATAGGCAATATCAAATAACCAAAATTACCTGATGTAGCAGCAGACATGGTAAGAAAATGAGATCGAGATAATACTTAATTTAGCAAAGTTTGAAGATTAGTGGTGAAGATTATAATGGTTTCAAGAAAAGACTTAGAAGTATTTAGTTCAGTAGTTATTGCCATAACAGTCTTGACAATGCTAGGATCATGAATTAGACTACCGTTACAATGATATTTAGCTTTACATTTCTAAATGGAATGATTAGTTCTCTCACATTGTGAACAAAACTTGTGAAAAGTAGAGTTCGTAATTTTTTTAGGAGCAATAGCAATAATAGTATTAGCACTATGAATTCGACTCATAGCCAACCGAGTTTCCTCATATATCAATTTCATGAAGGCATTATCCATAGTTGGTAAGAGATGTAGGCACAAAAGTAAAGACCTGATATTCTCAAATCCATCTCAAAGTGCCATTAGAATTTGAATAAGATGAATTTGATTTCAATAAGTAATAAAATTACTAGCATCATTTTCATTCTTGAATTTTGGCTCAAAATTTTCAAACATATCCTATAAATGTTGCATTTTAGAATAAAAATCATCAATCGACTAACCTGCTTCTTGATGAAGGCGAGATAAAGTGGTCAAAATATGATATTGATGAGCAAAAGTAGTAGAGTTGTATTGTGTGACAAAAAAATCCTAAACATCTTTAGTAAGTTCAAATCACCTAAACTGTACATTGATAGAAGGAACAGTGGTGTTAGTGAACTATGTCAAATTCGATGATTCTTACTTTTACATTCCTTTAGCTGATTTGTAAATTTATCATTAGATTCTTCTTTTTTTCTTTCTAGTGTTTTGTGTTCTTTGGTAACAACAAGTCATAATTTTATTCCCTTTAGATAACTATGCATAGCCGTAGCCTACCTATTGTAGTTAGTTTTGTCAAGGATAATTGAAATTGATTGTACATTTTCTTGTTTAATACCTACCATTAAACTCTTGAAAAAAAAATGAAATGAAGATGTGAGAAGTTATAAGTATTGATATAAAAAATGAATTTTGAAGATGGAAAGAGAAACAAAGAAAAAAAATGAAGCGTGGAAGCAAAAATGAAGTTAAAAATGAAAATCAACCAAGGATGAGAATAAGCAAATATTGGTTATTCCAAGGTAGTTCACCTTCGGAATGAACCATGAAATCATTTGATATCATGTTAAAAATTCAACTTAAAATCAATTAACAGTAAGTGAAAGGACCAACCTTAATATAAGACTACAAGATATTGAAAATTTATTAAATGTGGGATAAGCTACTTTAATAAGCTCCCATCATGTGTAGACGAATATGAAAAAAGTCTTTTACATGAGAAATTAGAAAAAGGTAATGGAAAGAATCTTGACTCTAATACCATAAAAAATAAGAAAATGCTGAAAACTGTATTGTAATGACTTGTATTTTACAATGAGGCTTAAAACTTATTTATACAGAGATAAAATGTTACAAAATAGAAAATACAATAAATAGAAATAATGATTAAATCAATTCCTATAATCACTTAATCAATATCTAATATTCTCTATAAAATCAATTTAAAATATTACTAAAATATTATTAAAATAATATTATCAATCTAGAATTTTAGAAGAATGTTACTAGAATATCATTGACACTTGCCACCTCCAGCTCCTTCTGTACAGAAGCTCCAATGGCAATCCCTTCTTGGACCTTCTTCCTCTCTTTTCGCAAAGAGTTTATGGTAATATTCAGCAATGTCAATTTCAACTGTCTTGATCTTGAGCTGCCTTTGTAATTCAATAATATCTTATTCCTGCTCCTTTAAACCATAGTACTAAAGCAATTCACCCTCGAGCTTCACTTCGCTCTCCTCCAGTTCCTTTGCTAACTTGCGCAACCGTTCCAGTTCACTTGCATTGTTTGCCATCTCAGTTTCATAAATTTTTTCCTTCTGTGCCCTGTCAAACTTGTCAGTAGGTAGCGGATATTCAATCTCCCCTGAGAGAAGGTCTTCAAATTTAATTAACAAAGACTAGCTAATATTTCTTAGGCTATAAGTTAATAAGAGTAAATCCTATTTGGAAACTGAAGTACATTGACAATAGGATGTCAGAATTTGATTGAAGAAGTTACGTCACAGCCTTCTCTTTGAGGTAATCATTAGGGTATGTAAACTGCTTTTTATTGCCCCCCTCAATTGGATGTTGCTCAAAGCTTGCTTCTCCATTTTCTGAGTTTCAGTGTTACCGAAGCAAAAGTAACGCAACATAATGAAGCTCAGAGGCAACTGGAGTAAAAGAATGGCATACCCTTGTTTTTAATATATAAGTTTAGTAATTGATGTTAACCATGAACACTAGATTTCTTTAATGGGAAACCATCAATTAATGAAAAAGTGCAATCTTTCTTTTGCTGATTAAAATATGACCTAGGATTGCCAAAAATTAAATTACTAGGAAATTACAAACTGAGCTACATGAAGGTTTGACCAAAGAAGATAATGACTTTTGTTTTTTGACATTGAGCTGATTAGCTGCAAAAGCTGCAATTGAACCAGCAACAAGGAATCCGACACTGACTATCATGTAGGAATTGTTGATGTAAAATTCGTCTTCCTCCACTCATCTATAAGAAAGAAATAATCCAAGGACATTCCCCACACCATTTTTCCTCATCCCCCATCATTAATAACTTAAGCCATTAGGACCCTTTAAATGCAAATACAGCAACCAAGAATGTAAGAGCTCGCCAGCAAGGCTTGTATAAACGCAATCCTGATGCAACTTCAAGCAGAACCCAAAGTTAGAGAAGTTGAGAATATGCTCAGCTATAAACGCCATATCCTGACATAAACGTTCCTACACCATTAGCATTATCATGTTATCAGATTTGTAGACCTTTCAAAGAAAAACTTTCTAGTATACACAAATTTCCTTGCTAAGTAGAACCTAAAACAACTGGCATGCTAAGAGCCACAGCAACCACCAATAACTAGTGGCCAGTTTTCTGCGAAAGGATTAACAATTTACTCATGGGTAGGACTAAAACCTTACCATTTTCGCGAGAAGAATATTATACAGTAAAAACAAGGCCAAAATAAAAGCTGAAACAGACCATAAACTGTAAATTTGAACAAAAAGCAAGCGTGGCCAAATTGCTTCCCTTTTTGTTAGATGTGAGCAAGAGAAACTGCATTGTTTCTAGTGCATTTAATTGAATGTTTTATTTCCAACTAATTGGCAGTATTTGTCCAATTAAATTTCTCTAATTAAGATTTTGTAGATTAAAGGATAACCATGGACCAATCGCATCCGTTGGATCAACTATGCACCAACCAGACTTGGACCCCCATCCCACACGATAAACCACAGTAGATACTAGACAGCAAAGGCTGAAACTCAATTCCCAGCCGTTTTCTTAATGGACCGAAAGCGAATGCAGAGGGACATCCAAGCAAAAAAAACAATGTAACCCAACTTTTCCGGTGATTGAACCCCAACCACATGTTGGTTTTTTAGGCTTTTTCTTTGGGATTTTCTGGGTTTATCTGATGAAAAGACATCTTGTCTGGGCCACCAATGTAGAATTATCCGCAGCTCTAATAACCTAGAAATAATATACATCAAGGCATGTCTAATTATACCATACTAATTATCCTTAAAATATTATCCACTATTTTCTCAGCCAGGTGTGTTTTTGGTGAAATTTGTAGAGGTGAAAAACAAAAGTAGCATTATGCACATAACTCTATTGGTTAAAAAAAAAAAAAAAAGTAAATTAGCAGTTTTATTCTATCAAGATGGTGACAATGGGAAGTTAACGAGCAAACAACTTGATAAATGGGACTGTATTCACCAAACCCTGAATATTCCTTTTTCCTGGCTAAGGAATATGTTGGTGTTAAGTAACCAATGCCATATTTCCCAGGCAGACACGAGACAAGGAGTCCAATAGAAAGTGCCTGGCTCCCGCCTTCTTAGTTGCCAAATGATCCTGGCGGGAATAACTTTTTCAACACTTTCCCCCTCCGCAAGCCCCATCTTTTTACTATTATTATTATTATTTGAAACCGCGAATCTCATTATCCTACCTCAATAAAAATATAAAATTTCATATTTTAACCATTACACTAACAATTACGACTATTTAAATAAATATATTTATTTATTAAAATGATCTCAAAGCATGGAGCTTTGCATTTGTTTTAAAGCAACCCTTTTCACCAATTGCTCAAAGCCAGTCACACTTACTGCCATAAATTTGTGACTCATGAAATTTGCAATGGTAATCTGGATTAAATTGCTGGTAATCTACTTTCATTTGCCCACAATTACAACTTCATTTTATACTCAACTAATCACAGCTTCAATTCCAGAACATTATATTCGCTGCTGAATGTTACACTCCATCGTTGCATTGCCTAAGAACTTTCGCTGAACAAAATTAAATCAAATAACAACAACAACAACAAAAATTCTCAAATTCCTTCATCCCTTTGATTCTTCAACAGTAAACCAATATAAAAGCACCAATCAAAAGATATAATATATATAGGGAGGAACGTGCAAAAAAGCGTAGATACAATCCAAATGTCAACACTCTGACCACATTCCCTCGTCCTGTGCATACTCAACAAAATAATAAAGATTTCTCATATTGCCCTCATGTCCATGGAATTTCTTATTTATTCTTCCAATGTTATCATTTTTAAGCTGTCAGTGCTGACTCTACTTTCAACTGACTCAGAATCAAGCTCGGTTATCCCATTTCCATCTTCGCCCCACCTCCTCAAGAACTTTAGCTCGGGCTTGGCTTTTTCTTGCTTCATCCTCTACCCAAGATCTGTGTTCATTGCTTTTATTAATTAGAACCATGCATCACTACTTTTAACCATGCAAGGTAGTTAGATTAATCAGGACCCAAGGAGTCCTCCCAAGAATTAATATTATACTATATAGGATAAGCCTAGTGACTCAGTGCTAAACTAGTTTTTGCGACACAAGCAATAACAATAAATCAGCATGGTATGGCAAGGAGGGGGGGGGGGGGGGGGGGGGGGGGCGCAGGCATGCAATTTCAGCATTTACCTGAGAATCCGAAGAGCTTCAATCTCAGCTTCCAATATGGATTTTGCATCAAGTATTCCTTCTCGCTTGAACTGTAAACCACTGACCATATCTTGCAACTTACTCTGCTCAGTAACATACATGGTCCTCTCAGATGCAAGCCTTTCTGACATCTCAGCAACCTCTTCTTTAAGACTAGAAAGCAGTTGCCTCTGGCAATCCACTGCTGCCTTTTTCTTCAAAAACTCAGCAGTCCACTTCTCCTGAATAATTTTCTCGCATTCCAGGTCCTGAGCTGCAGAAAAATAAAACTTCTCCACCTCAAAACTTCGGGTTCTTTCTTCATCCAGCTTTTCATCCCATAACCTCTGTATATCTCCCTTTTCAAGTAACTCAGACTTGATTTCTTTCATCTCAGCTCTCCTTGAAGAACTCTCCATTTCTAGCTTCAACAACTCATTAGAAATTGCTTCTGCCATTCTGCCACTTGTCAAAGCCACTGCTGCTTGTGCTTTTGATGTAGGTTTATTTGATTGAAATCGCTTGCTTTGTCCTAGAAAATTTAGAAATAAATTTATATGAGATTAGAAAGCAAGCATAATATGTGCTTGCAGTGGTTGATTTTCCATCTTAGTAAGAATAAAAGCACAAAGGTTTTTTTAATTGATAAAAAATGTGCAACTTAGCAAATTGTCTTATTTACATTAATGACAGTATTGCAAAAACAACTCTGCACATTCTACTCATTATTATCTATGTTTTAGTTCAGCATTTGCTCTTTGAAATAGTTTAGGGTTTATCTTCTATCATGGTTTCCTAAATTTTATCTTCTATCGTGGTTTCCTAAATTTTATCTTCTATATATTGCCAGGGTAGTCAGTTTTGAGTGCTTCTATTGTGGAGATTGTACTAGTCAAGAAGACTCATGCTATTTACATATTAAATGCTTATTAGAGAGGAGGGTAAATAAAGCAGTGGGGAAGAGGCAAAAGGGAGGGGATAGTGCATAAGTATGTTGGTGATAAGCCAAGAAAAGAATTGTACCAAAAACTTTTCTGAGTATGCTCTTTTCCCTGGCCAACATGTCTATAAAAAGTCCTGGCAATGTATCTGGACTGATCTCCTTCAAATCCATATAATCTATCCTTGTCCTTGATATCTGGACTGTAAACAAGTCAGGTTTTAAGAGCAATGAAAAGACTGGTGAAGCATCAGTCTAATAGTTCCTAAACAAATACAACAAATTCTAGCAGATGGTGGGGGGAGATTTATTGTACCTGCTCTATTACTCCTGGCTCAAAGTCATACTCTACCAGGGCTTTCCAGTTTATAAGATCCTGTCGAGAAATGAATCTAGAACACCAGATATGTTTCACTGAGTCAAAAAGTACTTTTAAACAATTGATGAAATTAATCAATGACCGTGTAGCTTTACCGGTCAGGAGAAAAGTTGATTGGTTCTTGGCCTTTTGAATCATTGGAACCGGTAATCCTCCCTGAAAGCTTGCTTGGAATGATGCCAGCCTCAGCCAAAGCTAAACCAAAAGTTCCAAGGAGAAAAACTCTTATGGGTCATATTTATAAAAGATACAAGCCTGAAATTACATAGAAAATGTCAAACTGGGCTTTACCTTGAATGGATTCAAAATCTGGGTCATCAGCTCCAACATCATCGTATGCTGTAGTTTCTGACCCAGAAAGTGCAATTGATGGAACAATCCTGTGCTTAGGATTCCTAGAAGACAAATAAGTTGCCAAGTGAGATCAGATCAAGCAAAAAAAATGCTTAGAACCCCCAAATTTTCAATTTCAAGCTATTCCCAAAAGACAAGCACAGGACAGTTACTACCTTTCAAATAAAGAACTCATACGAACAAGCCATCTTGCATATTCCCTTCTTGTGCATAATTCATCAGCTCTTACATCATCTTCAATGATCTGCAAAACTTAATTACTCGATAATCATATGTAGTTCATTTGAAAAGGTGGTGAGAGGATTCTACATAAAAGAAGTCTTCAAAAAAAAAAAAAAATACCTTCAGCTTCTTTAGAACCAATAAAGCTTCCTGTTGAGTAGAATCCACAGCAACTGGTACCACAATGTGTTCACGCTTATACGTAGATGCTGAAAGTGTCAAGGAAGAAAATCAAAATTTTCTAAAGAATTGGTAAATGCATCAATAAATTAAACATTCTACCGCTGCTCAAAAAAAGGGCCTTAATGACATGTAAAAGTTAGAAACTTTGATTTTATTAATTTAGCTTGATTCTCTCCAGCAAAAAGCAACCTAAAATACTGAACTATAAAAATAAAAATAAGAAACGTAAAAAGTTTACAATTGACTGCACCTGAAGGAACAGCTTCGGTAATTGCAGGAGGCACACAGTCGGGTATTGCCTCAGCAGGCTTTTCATCAGATTCAAGATAGTCCGTAGCTTTGGTTTGACCACTTTTCGTCTCGGTCCAGCTAAAGACCCTGTGTAAAGTATTTAATGGACTGCTAAACTGAAACTTAAACCCTGCAAATCTCAAAAGAAATGCATTAAACTTAACTTCAATTAAAAAAACCCAAAAGCACTGTTGTGTCAAGAAACTGCAAGCGAATGCAAGTCTTTGATAAAGCAGATTAATGATTTAAATGATGGAGAGTAACCAACCCTTTCTGTAGAGTGGAAAGTATGCAACGGCGACAATGGCAACAGCAACTGAAGAAGCAATAAAACCCTTAAGAATAATGCAAGAAAATCCTGAAAACAGAAAAACACAATTCAACAAAACTCTTTATATTAAAAAAAAAAATGTTTTCTTTAAAAAAAAAAAAAGAAACCTTTTTTGCTTGTGTTTGGAGTTGGAGGAGCTTGAACAACGGCCCAACCACCATAGTTGTCCGGTTGAGAATTGGCATCGGGAGGGAACCAGGAAAGGTTGACATTTGAGTGAAGAAGAGAAGCAGAGAGACGCAGAATCCGGGATTTGAAGGATCTGGGATAACAGAGAAATGTAGTTGGCGATTTGAACAAAGGAAGGGTGGTGCTAAGGCGGGGAAGAAAGGAGGGGGTTTCAGGTGATATGAAGAGAGACGATGGAGATGCGGCTAATGAGCCCATCCTTCTTGGATTAATAAAAAAAAATTGGGGGACTGGATTGAAAATAGAGACGAAGGAAGCAAGCACTGGAATTTGGAAGAGGTGAGCTTTGGGGTTTACGTCTTTCTCTCAGTAGCACCACTCGTCCCTTTAGAGAAACAAATCTTCCGTTGTGATTGGATGAAATCTTGGGATGTTTTGTTTGCCGACTCCATCGACAGTACATAACACCGGGTCCAGCAGCAAGCCAACTAACCTTGTTCAATCGGTCTGAATTTAATGATTCTTTTGCTTTGAAACAAGGAGCAGTTGGGCTTCCATCTGAGGCCCGGGAACTAAATTTAGGATTGAGTCCTTCAACAGTTAATAAGTCCATTAAGGCTGATCCTGGCCCAATTATACAGTTGCCTGCCTGGCTGCTAGCATCCAAATGCTTTGCTTAATCATTTAATCGAAATAGACATTGATGGTTGATGATGGAATGTTTTCATCAAATTGTAACAGATAAAACCAAATTCAACTGTTGAATTTGTAATGTATGCTTCTTAACAAATTTAAGATCACTTGACTTTATTTATTTATTTAATTTTTAACAAGTTCAAGCTGAGGTTTTGCTGTTGTTATGGTTGAGCTTTGAGTTACAAATGTGAGCTTGATTTTAATCTCAATTTCCATCAATACACTACAGTGGGGGGGAGGGGGGGGGGGAGTGATAGTGGTATATAAGCAGTATCATTGCACATACTAAATTTTAAAAGAGTGTGGCACGCTGGTACAGTTATAGTAACGATGCCTCCTATCTTCATAATCTTTTCCCCTTCTGCCATTTTAAATTTCATTCACCATCTTAACTGGAAATATTTTAATGCATGACCTTTTACCAACGCAACTTTTAGTTTTGTATCATTTGAGCATTGTGATGTGTGGTGGAGGGACGGCAACTCTGAACCATTCTTTTGCGTTTGGCTATTCTAACTTCTTGTTTGTATAAATGAATTTACGAGTGGAGCTCCCTAACCTGATGACACCCAAACTTTATGGAAAAAAAAAACGGATATAATATTGTACTATTAATTATTATGCCTGCTTTCTTTTGGAAGATATGGCCAATTGTTAAAATGGTTGACTTTACCCTTTCAAGCCCCTCTTTGCCTTGGAGTACTGATTTGAAGGGAATTAAGATATCCATAACAATGAGAGGATACATGTGTGTGTGTGTATATATATATATATATGTATTTATGAGGTGAAAATTTTTGTCCCCTTAACTTTCCTTCACGGCTCACGCTATGAAAATGGGAAAATATGTATGATTGCTGGAACAAGGAATAAGCCTCGACTGCTTAAACTTTGATACGAGGAGACAAGATTTTACAACATTTTATGGCATTCTCTCGTTTCTAGGTGTTATCGGGGGCTAGCTCCACCCAACTTAGGAAAACATCATTGCTGATTCACCAATCACGAAACTCTTACTAATGTCAAACTCCAAAAAGTCTTCAAAATATTATCTTTCATTTTTTACGTAAAGTACTTCCAAAGTCATTATTCTTTACTCTTACCTTAGGTTGTATAAAAGTACAACCGTTAACTGAGCTGCCAACAACACGACAAACAAGAATCTAAAAGCCGCCCATTGACTCTGATGCCATAATCCCTGCCTGCCTTAGTAAATGCCCAGGGCCATGAATACTTAACCCTACTATAACTATTATTTCACTGAAAACTTCTGCATCAAAACAACAAAATACAAGTTAAGCAGCAAAGAAAGATATGGAATTTTCTTGCAAGGACTTCAAGGTTGGAAAATGCCAAGGCCAAAAGCTGGTGGATGGTGAAACCATGCCATTGGTTCTGCAACCCCCCGAGGCAGACAAGGCTGATATAGAGTCACTTTTGTTGGCCTTAAAGACAAATAAGGATTGGTTCGAGCAATTGATCATCAAAACCGGTGCTGTCCTCCTCCGAGGTTTCGATGTCAAGAATGCGCAAGACTTCAATGACATCGTGGAAGCGTTCGGTTGGGATGATATTCGTTATGTCGGACCAGCATCTCGGACGCATGTGTATAAACGTGTGTGGACAGCTAATGAAGGACCACTCTCTGAGTTCATTTATTACCACCATGAAATGGTTCTGGTATGTCCAGTCATTATCTTTTGCTTTTGCTTTTAAACTAAGCGATTTCACCTTCTTTTCAAATATATAGAAGCCAAACTGCCGACCTCAAATACTTAATTCAGCTATTTCTTAATTTCTGTTAATTCAATAAAGGTGTAAATGATGGGAAGGCTATGAAGGGGTAAAAGTGGCATGACTATATAAAATGGAATAACAGAATGACATTCTGTTGGAATCAAACATGGAATTTGATCCTCCGTTAATCTTTACTATAGTTAAACTTTGTCTATGGCTGACAGCTTGATCGATGATGCCTAATGAAGTTGAAACATGTTATAATATTTTCCACTTACAAAGTTGACCTAGCTTCTCACTGATTTGTCTTAAACTGGAGATGTGTTGACACAGTCACTGCTCACTAATCAGCTATGAAACCATCTTGTATATCAGCTAATTGGTATTTAACTAGATCTTACAATGTCATCTTATACCAGATAAAGGAATATCCAAAGATATTATTACTATTCTGCGAGGTGCCACCACCGGAAGGTGGACAGACACCTTTTGTTCCTAGCTTTCGAGTAACAGAGCGGATGCTAGAGGAGTTCCCAGAAGCTGTGGAGGATATGGATGCCAAGGGGTTAAAATACACATTCACAGCCCTCAGCAAGAATGATACATCATCAATGAGGGGTAGAGGCTGGGAAGATGCTTTTGGAACATCAGACCGTGCAGAGGCCGGGAGAAGGTTTGATATGATTGACCATTATAAGTTAGTCACTAGTTATTTACTAAAAACTGAAGCACATACATGTATATTCTCTTTCTAAGACAGACTGTGAGCCTAATCACAGAGCAAAAATTGTTTCAGGGCCAAAGCACTGGGAATGGACCTGAAGTGGCAACCTAATGGAGGGGTGAAGGCTATACTGGGACCTCGATCTCTAACAAAGGTGTTTGACGGAAGAAAAGGGAGGAGAATGTGGTTTAACACTGTAGTTGGTATGCATGGAAAAGAGCTTAGCTCAGCCTTGATGGCAGACGGAACAGAGATACCAGAAAAAATAGTTAAGAGATGTGAAGAGATCATTGAAGAAGAAAGCATTCAATTCGATTGGGAGAAGGGTGATGTTCTCTTCTTTGACAACTTAGCTTTGCTCCACGGTCGGAAGCCCGCAAAGCCCCCTAGAAGAGTACTCGTTGCCACTTGCAAGTAAAGTCCCCTTTTTTGTATTGTATCCATCCTAGTAAAAACTGAGCAAAGACATCTTATAAGCCTCTTTTGAACTAAAAAGGATCGGTTTGTTTTGATATCACACATCAAAAAACCATTTTGAATAAGAAATCACTGTGCCACGGAATGTTTCTTTAAAATATATATAAAGAAATAATAAAAACCTACTTGGGGAACATTTCTATTATAACATAAATATATAGATAAACTAATAACTTCTGTTTCTATTTCTTAGTTATGAAAAGTTCCAAAATCATTAAATATATTAATCCAGAAATTGAAATAGAAAAGAAAAAAAGGTACCAGGGAATCTAATATCATGATAATCATTTCGGTAACTTGACAAGACTAACTTGATTCACGTTCAACTTGAAATTTAACAATTCACAACCATGTGATTACTGGAATAGACCAAAACTCCTCAATGCAGTTCAAACATAAGTTACAGTACAGAAGCATTTTAGGCATGATGGAAGTTGCAGTTCAGATCCCATGTCCCATCCAATCCATGGTGAATAAGGCAGTTTCCTTCCAATATTTTATGCTTTTCATATACAATTCCCCACAATACAAATCAGTGGGTTTGATAACAGATAATGACAATGCAAGAATTTACTCTCAGACAATCAGCAAAAATCCAAGATTAACAGAAAGAGAAAACAAAGAATAAAAAAGTATTCAAGAATTTCAATTTGACACGTATAACGAAATGCTGGGTAGCATTCAGCCATTACGCACAAACAAGATTAATAATACTTATTAATGGGCTGGACTGGCCCGTATGTGATTTCAGGCCTTTAAAGATTTGGAATTCAACGGATTATAGTAAAATCCAACTTACCCCGTACGCTGATGATCCCTCACGAAATGACCACAAGATATACAACACAAACGTTTTCCATTTTCTTATTTCTTTTCCGTCTAAATAAAATTTGTGTTTTCAGTTGTCGCTGTCGATCTCCTTGAATTCGCAAAACTGCGCGATTGGGAGGGGTCTCTAGGGTCTCCAAGAAAGTTGAGTTTTTTCTTTTTTGTTTGTTTGTTTGTTTTTACTATCTCGGGTTTGTTTTGTCCTTTTTGTGATATGTTCACGCCGCAAAGGAAGGCGTGGCCGGGACTAACGCTAACGCCGCCAACTGACCCGCAAAGAGCGGGTGTTTCAAACACTAGGAGTGGAAACCTTAGGGGGAAGGGAAAAGCCGTTGTATTTGCTGATGATCCTAGGAAACTGCCACTGCCACCTGTTGGTTCGCTTAGCAGCAAGGGGGCCTTGGAAGTTAAGGTGGAAGAGGAGGACATGGAGGACTGGAGGCGTTTCAAGGAAGCTGGGTTATTGGACGAAGCGGCCATGGAAAGGAGGGACAATGAAGCCCTTGTTGAAAGGCTCTACAAGCTTGAAGGAGAGGTGAGTCATTTCTACCTTCCGTTTAACGTTTGTGTTTTTAGTTCAAGTGTTCTAGTGGAACCATACGCTACTTAACGAAGACAAATTTTTCTCTACAAATTTAAATTTAGATGTCTTAACTTTGATCCACATAAGCTCAAGATTTGCTGCAAAAAATCAATAACAAAATTTTAGTTCACCTCTGTAGTAAAATTAAAATTTGGTTGGGAGCTTAGACTGCTTCTAGGAGAATTCTTTGGCGTATTATGTTTGTCTATTTGGCTTTTAAATCAATCAAATGCATCAAGTTCAGTACACTACTGACTTTGCGCTGGGTTTATTTGTATTGGCCTTCAGGGTCTGCTCTTATTTGGTCATATGCACTTTCATCACTTGCTGCTCAAGCTAGTTATTGCAGTATTTGTGAGGTAGAAGGATTTTTAGGGCATTTCGTGGTCATGTCATAGGTGCCTAAACATGTTAATTTTATGTGAGTTTTATGTTTTTTTTTTTTTCACCCTACATATGGAAAGTTAATATTATTTAGTGGTGAATTGGTAAGCCTTGATGCAACATTTAGGTTGCTCCATTATGATCCTGAAGGTCATATGTCAAATTGTGGAATCAGTCTATCTGCAAGGCAAGGCTAACGCTGCATATATTTAAATTTTTCCACACTTTGTAACGTGGAATTCCATTGCACTAGGCTGCCTTCGTTAGTGATTTGAACACGTGAATTATGTGATGATGCTTCATAGCTGTACTGGTGAAACATGAATCTTTTTGTTATTGAGTTTCACTAGGCTGCACTCTTTAGTGATTCAAATGGGTGAATAGATGGTGATGCTCCATTGACTTTATTAGTTGTGCATGATCTTTAAACACCCATCTTCTCAAGATTGCTTATGGAGATGATTTTGTATGGTTGAGCATCAGTTTTTACTTGTTGTCAGATTATTTTGAGTTCCTGATTGAGGATGTACGTAAAAAATTTTCTAAATACTTTTTCGTTGTTTAATGTCTATATTTTTGTGCAGCTTTTTAACTACCAGTATAACATGGGGCTTCTCCTCATGGAGAAAAAAGAATGGACATCAAAGTGTGAAGAATTAAAGCAAGAACTTGCTGAAGTTGAGGAGATCCTCAGACGTGAGCAGGCAGCACACTTGATTTCATTATCTGAAGTTGAAAAGCAAGAGGACAACTTGGCAAAAGCCGTAGGTGCTGAAAAGCAGTGTGTGGTGGATGTATGTTTTTTCTTCATTTTTTTTTGTTTATAGAAATGCATATATTGTCTCTGTTTAGTAGCATCCTTAAGGCCTAGTTTAGTTTTATTGTTGAAAATAACTTTTGCGTTCAAAAGCTGCTTTTCACTCAACCTTAATAGTAAACAACAAAAAAATGGCTTTTCAGTTTAAAAGCCTGGTTTTGCAACCAAAACCAGAATTCTACTCAAGAGGTGCTTTTGCAGTGGAAAATTGCTTTTGGGATAGAAAATCACTATATTTCCTTATATTTCTAATATTTTATTATTTTATGCATGTCTTTTTAGACATTTCAATTGCTTACAGCAATTTTTAGAGCAATACTAAAGACTTCAAAATTTTAACCACACTTTTATTACCATACTTTTTAAACACACTTTTTCCAACCCAAACATTTTTCAACCGCAACAGCAATGCTAAACTAACCCTAAGGCTTGTCATTTGTTTTCCAATCAAAACTCTTTTGCCTTTCTAGTTCATTGATAATGATATTCTGGCCATATCCCTTGTTGCAGCTTGAAAAGGCATTGCGTGATATTCAAGAAGAACATGCCCAGGTCAAGCTTAGTTCTGACACAAAGTTCATTGATGCGAATGCATTGGTCGCTGGAATTGAAGGAAAATCCTTAGAGGTGGAAGAAAAGCTGCATGCTGCTGATGGTAAGCTTGCAGAGATAAATAGAAAAAATTCAGAATTGGAAAGGGAACTGCAAGAAATGGAGGCCCGTGAAAGTGTGCTTCAAAGAGAGCACCTCTCCTTAGTTGCAGAGTATTCCCCATAATCAACATTTTACTATATTTTATAATGGTTGTTTTTACTTGAACTTTCATGGACTATGCTCACTTCTCATGTTATATTGCTCTCTTTATGCATTTATTCCTCTGCTTTTAGACGAGAAGCACATCAGGTAACTTTTTATAAACAAAGGGAAGACCTCAACGAGCGGGAGAAAAGACTAAATAAAGGAGAAGAAAGGCTGACTGAGCTTAGGAGGATACTCAATCAGAGGGAGGAAAATGCAAATGAGAATGATAGGCTTCTTAAGCAGAGAGAGAGGAACCTTGGAGAGCTGCAAAATAAAATTGATTTATCAACATTGAAGTTAAAGGAGATGGAAGATGATGTAAGCAAGCGTTTTGAAGACTTGATTTCAAAAGAGAAGGTGGGTTCCATGCCTAGTTTAATGCTTTAGTTTTTTGTGATTTCCTTCCTAATATTGCATTTTGTTTAAGTATTTTAGGAAGCCGAGTCCATGAGAAATGCTCTAGAGGCAAAAGAGAAGGACCTAGTTGCATTTGAAGAAATGCTTACTGCTAGAGAAAGGGTGAGTTACAATACATGTTATTTCTCTTTGCCTCGTAGATAATGCAAAAAATGCTGTATGTCCTGGATTAAATGAGTCTTAATATTCTATTTTTTTCACTTTTTGACAGCTTTTCTTGTTTTTGTCTTTTTCTTCAACAGAGTGATGTTTACTATTTTTCTTGGCACCTTGTATCGTGTTTTGTACTATTCTATGCATAAGGAAAGACACCACGCATACATAGATCATTACTGAACACATATAAATTGTTTGGTCAAATGGACTGAATATTTTGCTGATTAAAGACATACCGTTTTTGAAGGGAGCACCTCTTGTGAGAATTGGCATGTTATTGGATCATGAGGAACTCGGTGACAGATTGGCAAGATAGCTGTATCCTATTTGCATTCATGAGAACATTAGGATGTGAGAGTAATGATAATGATGTTAACAATTACTCGACACTTCAGTAAAGTTTGAAAAGTTTCCATAATGATAGTAGGTAAATTTTGTTTCTGATAAAAATGAGGAATGGAAGTAGGCACTGCAAATTTGACAAATGATTGCTTATTCCCATCACATGCACTTCATTAGGGTTGTAAGTTGCTATGCTCCTATTTTTTAAATGCAAGGAATGCAGTTTGACAAAATTGGTAAGTTCTCTAAAGAAGTGGATGTTCATGTCTTCCTTTTTCTTAGACTGATACAATGTAGAACATATCAGTCTTTTATTGTATGTGTGCACACAATTTTATGTATTTTTGTGTCTATGCTTTATCCTTATCAATTGGTATGCTCCTTGTGTTTGCCTCTTGCAAAGTGGTGTTGTTTCGTTGTTTCGTTGGCAAATGAGCACTAGACAGAATGAATTGGTTATTATTTAATAATAATCATTTAGCAGTCTCAAATTTTTTACACCTTTGGTATTTATAGGTGGAGATCCAGAAACTTGTTGATAAACAAATGGTTATGCTGGATGCGAAAATGCAGGAGTTTGAATTGGAACTGGAAGAAAGGAGGAAGTCTGTTGACAAGGAACTAGAAAGAAAGGTACATGAAGTGAAACAGCAGGAAGCCGAAATTAACCACAAGGAAGAAAGGTTGATAAAGCGAGAACAAGCACTGGATACAAAGTTAGAGAGAGTGAAGGAGAAAGAAAAGGACCTTGAGGTGAGATTGAAAACCATCAAGGACAGAGAGAAGTTTGTGAAAATTGAGGAGAAAAAGTTGGAGTTGGAAAAGCAACAACTGTTTTCTGCTAAAGAGAGCTCAGAGGTTCTCAAAGATGAGATCGATAAGATAAGGGCTGAAACTAATCAGCAAGAGTTATGGATTTGTGAGGAGTCTGAAAAGCTTAAAATAACCGAAGAGGAGAGGTCTGAACATATCTGTTTGCAGTCAGAATTGAAAGAACAGATAGACAACTGCAGACGTCAGGAGGAGTTGCTTTTGAAGGAACATGAGGATCTGAAACAGCAAAGAGAAAATTTTGAGAAAGAGTGTGAAGTTTTGGATGAAAAAAGAATTGAAATCATTATGCAACAAAAGGAAATTGTTGAAGAAAAGGAGAAGTTCGAAAAGTTGCGACATTCAGAAGAAGAAAGGTTGAAGAAAGAGGAATCTGCTATGCAAAATTATATTTGTAGGGAGATGGAATCAATCAGGCTGCAGAAAGAATCATTTGATGCCACTATGAAGTATGAGAAGTCAGTTTTATTGGAAGAAGCTCAGAATGAGCAGATTAAAGTGCTTCAAGATTTTGAACTGCAGAAAATGAATCTTGAAACTGATATGCGGAATAGGTTTGATCAAATGCTGAAAGATCTGCAAGAAAGGATTGTTGCATTCGAGGAGGTGAAGGGGAGAGAACTTGCTAATATGAGATGCTCAAAAGAAGATGCTGAGAGGGAAATGAAAGAAATAAGATGTGTGAGGCATGCTGTAGAAAGTGACAAACAAGAAATTGTAATCAACAGGGATAAGCTCAAAGAGCAGCAGCTAGAAATGGGAAAGGACATTTATGAACTTGGTATCCTTAGCAGCAGGCTCAAGGACCAGCGGGAACAGTTTATCCATGAAAGACATAGCTTCCTTCAATTTGTTGAGAAGCTCAAGTCTTGTAAGACCTGTGGAGAAGTAACGAGGGACTTTATACTGTCTAACTTCCAGCTTCCTGATGTGGAGGATAGAGAAATCCTTCCTCTTCCACTGCTAGGTGATGAAATCTTAAGGAATCGAGAAGGTTTTGGTGGTTCTGGTGTTGCAAATATCAAGAAATCTCCTGAAGCTGATGGGCAATATCCAGCATCTGCTGGGCGCATGTCCTGGCTCCGTAAATGCACTTCAAAGATTTTTAGCATTTCACCAACAAAGAGAAATGAAATTAAAGCTGAAGGATGTGGTATGATTATCACTGAGGAAGTCGGAGTGAATATTCATGAAGAGGCAGGGGAGCCTTCTTTAAGGATTCCAGGTGACTGTATCCATAACCAATTGCTCCAATCTAATACAGCTAGAGAGTTGGATGAAGGATCTGGTCGATCATAACTATGTTGACTGTAAGGTGCAAGAAGTTCCTGAAGATTCTCAGCAGTCAGAGCAGAAGAACGGTCACCGCAAACCTGGAATAAAACCTAAATCTGGACTGAATTGGACACAGTCCATGAAGGCTGTAGTTGAAGATGCAAAACTATTCCTTGGTGAAAGCCCGGAAGAACCTGAGCCTAGTAAGAGCGTGCAGCCACATGAAATCAGCCATGTCAATGAAGAAAGTGCTGGTGTTTCTAGTCATTCTGAAAAGGGAGCATGCAATAATGGAAGAAAAAGGCAACTCCTGCTAAATTCCAAAGTTACTGACAATGAGCTGGATGCTGCAGATAGTAAAGGACGTTCTGATAGTGTCACAGCTGGTGGGCAAAGGAAGAGGCAACAAACAATTGCTCTAGGCCTCCAAACCCTGGGAGAAAAACGATACAATCTCAGACGACGCAAGACGTAAGTTCCATTTTATTATATATGTAATTGTCTTAAAGGACTTATAGTTTAGACATTTATACGGTGTACAATGGTGCTTTGGCTTGAATCAAGGATGTTACCCTGTTTAATTGATTAAAAGGGAAGGAATGCCAACTTTTTGTTTGCAGAATGTTCTTTTATTTTGATTTTTTATTTTTAAGTTGCTAAGTCTGCCTTTGAATGTTGAACTTAATTGGACTGGCTGTTAATGTTGAAATGGACATGGATTTATCAGCCTTTAAGGGTCTTCTTCAGATGGGAAGCTACAGCTATACTCTTCTTTCTTGGACCTCAAAATGTACGTCTGTTTGGAATGCAAAGTAGACTCAACAAATCCATTAGCTGTTAAATGATTTATAAGCACTGTTGCATTTTGAAGACAAAAGAAAAGAAATTAAAACTTAGTATGATATTATATAATAATATACCATTACATATATGGATATATAGTTACAACTAAATTGAGTTGATTCTCCCATCAGCACTTTCCATCCTTTCAAATAAACTATCTAATGGTAAGATTACATTGTAATGATTTAAAAAGGGGTGAGATTCAAATAAAACAATTGAAAGTTTAGGGATTCACACTATTTAGCTGCATATGGATAGCGTTAGAAATGGAAATATTAGATTAAAAAAATGGTGAAAAGGAGGAAATTTTTTGTTTGCATTAATTATGAAAACATTATTTTGGTTTTTTAATTATTGGAAAAAGACGTTAGCAAACATGTTTATTATTGTTTTTAATGACAAAGAAGTTTTAACGTTAGTTCTTTTTTGTGTTTTCGTTGGATTGTGGTGCGAGGACAATTATTATTGTTCAGATTTGCATACAGTGCACGACAAAATAAATATGAAAAAAATAATTCATCTATAACATAGAAGGTTAAATAATTTTCCAGAATTATATTTTTAAAACAAGTTTTTATTGTTCACATTGAAGGTTGGGATTTGTATTTTCAGATGTCAGAGAATGTCAACTGCTACTATAAGCTTCATTACATAACAAGGAACTGTTTATGTATCTTTAATCACCTAACATAGAAAGTATGTTTTGCAGAAGATATCATGGTCTATTTAACCAAGTTTTTCTATAAAAGGATTGATCTTGTTTTTTATGGTCTTATGTGATTGTTTTGGATATGATCAAGCTTTACAAGATGGGAAAACACTTGGTCATTCTAAGGATTTATTTTAATGCTTTTCCAGTGCAGTCACAGCCACAGCAGCACAAGCCTCATCTGATGTTCTGAAGAGTAGGAAAGAGCCTGATAGTGATGGCGTGAAGGGAGGATTTTTTTATACTGGGAGCAGAAGATCTAATTTAGTGCAGGTCACGACATTGAAAAATGTGGAGAATTTAGAAAGCAAGGTTGTTAGGGTAAAAGTCTCCCTACTACATTTGTGTTAAGATGCTATGTTCGGATTTTCATCATGTTTTTTCTGACTCTCCCCACCCTTGTTTTCATGTAGTTCAAGACAAGTATGGATGACAATGAGAATACAGCAAAAGTCAGTTGGGAGTGTTGATTTGAGTGAAGAAGTAAATGGTACAGCTGAAAATGGTGATGAAGATCAGAGTGGGAGCACAATCCATGAGGATGACTATGATGATGAGATGGAACATCCTGATGAAGTCTCAATAGGAAAGAGAATCTGGACATTTTTTACCTCATGAAGGCATCCCCCTATTTCTTTTCTTCTTCTGAGACTGCAGGTGGTTCACTCATATGCTATGCAATACATGACACAACTAGGTGTGTAACTTGGAAGCTTCAGCTTCAGCTTCAAAGCTTTGCATTATATCTTTAAGTTTTTGCGTATCGGCTATATAGGAGTGTTTCCTGTCGACTCCCTAGGAAGGTGATGTGCAAGTGGTTACAACAATTTCTAGTTCATTCTGTATACTAGATTCGTTATCATGTATCCACTTGCAATTATTAGCTGCCACATTTTTGCTTCATATTTTTCATTCCTTGTTGCGAAATTATATTTTGGTCGGCATTTTTTTGTCTTTAATGAATATAAATCAGGCTTAGGAACAACCAAGGAAAACATAACTCCTCCAAAAGATTATTTCAGAATAGGCAAATAGGGTTCGGAACCTGAGGCTGGGTTTCAAATCGAAGGAGAGAAATAGGCTTTGAGTGTGAAAAGGTAAAAAGAAGCGAGTTAAATGAGACAGCGGAGGTGCCGCTGCTGTTGCTGGTTTTCCTGAATCTGTGAATCATTGTATTAAAAAAGGTGGCATCACCAAAAAGAAAAGAAAAGGACTGGTCAGCGTGCATTAGATGTGCCTTCTCTTCCGCCAACAGAACAGAACAAAAAAAAAAAAAATAGTGTAGGCTTTCTGCCTTCCTCTCCCTCTTCTTAATAAGCACACGAATTGTGGTTCAGATCCCCAACCACAAAGCCTCAGAAGTCCCTTAATTGCATTTACAGTTGCATTTTTGCTTCTCATGTTTCTCGTTTTTGTTTATTGGTTCTCCTCAAGCATCCAACAGATTCGCAGCCTCACGCGGCACCATGAACTACAGAATACAGAGCAAAGCAATGCCAATGTGAGCTTTGATGGGTGCATATTGTTGTTCTCATCTTCTATCTTGAATGTACCTTTGCATAGTGGGGAGAGAGAGAGAGACAGCAGATTTTCTAAATTAGTCAAAGTGTGAATATGACAAGTCAGTCTAAGTTTTAATTTACGAACATAACATGTCACTTTCATGTAAGCAAATGAATTTGGTTCTTTCAAATTTCATTTCGGAAATTGTCTCCAATGATATGAACCAGTTTTATTATCAAAGATCATTTAAATTGAATGTAGGATATTTTTTTTAGATTGGTTTAGTATCCTAATTCCTAACTAAACGAAGATTGCTGATTTGATCTCATCTATCAAGGTATCCGTTTTAGCACACTTGCTCATTTTCTAATAGTTATATTAGGTGATGGCAAGGCATTATTATTGCCTAATTTCCCTTTCCAATTTCCAGTTTGCCACTTCTTAATTTCCACTATATTTGCAGTCTAGGCACAATTTCTACCACAACTTAATGCTCTTTTGTCCGTTTCTGAGTCTGAGCGGCATTACTGTTTGAAAAAGCCACCAATTAGCTCAAAACCAACATAAAAGTAAAATAGAGATATAAAACCCTCAACTTTGTCTTGCATGCACTTTACATGGTCCCCTTCCGTCCTTTCCAAACCCTAAAAAAAAAAAAAAAAACCCTAAGTAATCCTGCAACTTTAACCACTCTCCCACCATAAATCCCTCAACCACAAGCCTCTTTAACCATCTCTGACAATACATTGAATAAAAAGGTAACAATTATTAGTAATTATTAGTAGTAATTAGAAACGAAGTAGTAATGGTGTAATACAATAACCCAAATTAAGGAGTTTGTGGAAAGCTTGAATCACAAGGGAAGGGAAGGGGCTGCATCGTGCAAAGCAAAGTAGAGCCAGCCGTATAATATAATATAATATAATATAACATTAAGAGTCACTCTTCCTATCGCTTTCAGTACTCAAAGCCCCTTCAGTTTCTACTTTCTACTGCTATGATCTTGTTATTACTGTCATTACTTTCTTGGGTTCGAGAACTGTGCGTAGATCTTTGTGTTCTTTCTGCTATATTACTTACCTTAGCTTTCCTATAACACACAAGGAAGCAAATTGCTCAACTTCCTTACTGTGCTTCTCTGCTCTCTCTCTCCATTTTCCTTTACCTTTCTCTCTTAACCATCTTTTTGTATCTTTGTCTCTCAAATCTCTATACTATTCTAAGCTTTCTCAAACACACATAAGTGGCTTTCAAAGGGGTCTCATACTGATATTCCTTAAGACATTTGCATCTATGTTGATTGCTTGGACTTTTTGCTTTTCTAACTTATATTATCTATATATTTCTTCCTTGGTTCTTGTCAAAGATCAACACTTTTAGGGTCGTTTAGGCCGAGGTATACTTGTTTTGTCTTCCTGAGATTGCTAAGTATAGTTTTTTTTCTTTTTTTAACGATATTCAGTCACGAGGATGCTTATCAGTAGCAATCATTTCGTTTTGGATGTTTGCTTTTTGTGGTTGGGTGTTTGGTGCTGTGGGCAAGCAGACAGTACTGAAGCAGCTCCCATGGAGAAAGCTGAGCAAGCCGCCCTGTACTCTACCATTCAAGGCTTTGTAGGTAGTGAGTGGAATGGCTCTGATCTCTATCCAGATCCTTGTGGTTGGACTCCTATACAGGTATGATAGGTTTTTTTTAACCTTCCTTGGTGGAATTTGCTAGATGCCCAATTACGCATTGCCCCTTTTTCTTTTTTATCTTTCGTAGTGCTTGAGATGATGAAGTTTGTAATGTTTGCACTTCAAGTTTTCATTCAGCGACATTTATGTATATACATTTTTTGTATGTATAGCCTGAGGTATAATTTATAACACTACATTTTGGGTAAGGCAGCTGGAAATTGAACTCCATCTGCATACCACTAGGCTTTACGTTGGTTGTATAAAAACAACTACTGCATTTTGCACTAAAAAAGAAACCAAATTGCATAGTCACTAGTCAGAATCAAACCGCAGAAACACTTTTCAGTTAATTAATTGTTATAATATTGATATTTAAGAGAAACTAGTATGGTTAATGCTAGCATATGTATGACTGTGAGGCAGATAAACTTGACTTACATTAATTATTTTCTAATAAACTAATGGATAAGATCAATAATTGCCTATTTATTAAAACCAATGGGATTTTATAAAATCTCTTTGTCTAAATTCCAAAACTTTACTGTATATCACTCTTGTTTCAGTAAATTGTTAGAATGACTAGTATTTCTAATTGATATAAACTATGCGACAGATTTGATTAAGCGGTAATATCTTGCTTTGATTTTTTCTGCAGGGGGTCTCCTGTGATATCGTTGGTGGCCTATGGTATGTTACTGCTTTGAGTATCGGTCCCGTCCATGACAACTCTCTTGGTTGTGCCACTAATGTGGAATTTAGGCCTCAGCTGTTCCAGCTTAAGCACCTAAAATCTCTCAGCTTTTTCAATTGTTTCATCTCACCTCACCGACATCCAATTACCATCACTGGTGGTAAATGGGAAAAACTTGCTGATAGCTTGGAGTTATTAGGGTTTCGATCCAACCCAGGTCTCATTGGGCAACTTCCTACAAGCTTTGGTTACCTCACTAAGCTCCAATCTTTAGTCTTACTAGAAAATGGGTTAACAGGAGAATTACCGACCAACATTGGCAACTTAACTAACTTGAATCGACTAGTCCTGGCTGGAAATAGGTTTACTGGCCAAATTCCAGATAGTTTTGGAAGGTTAAAGAAGCTGTTAATCTTGGATTTAAGTAGAAACTCACTCTCTGGCCATTTGCCTTCTTCTCTTGGTAGTCTGACTTCACTCTTGAAGCTTGATTTGAGTAACAATCAATTGGAGGGGATGCTGCTTAGAGATATTGCATATCTGAAGAATTTGACCCTATTGGATTTGAGAAACAACAAGCTTTCAGGTGGATTATCCCAGTCAATTGTAGAGATGCATTCTTTGGAAGAGTTGGTGCTGTCTCGCAACCCATTAGGTGGAGATATTATGAGCCTAGAGTGGCAAAGCTTGCAAAATCTGGCTATTTTGGATCTCTCTAATGTAGGCTTGATGGGTGAAATTCCTGAATCCCTTTCTGGATTGAAGAGATTGAGATTTCTAGGCCTTGGTAACAACAATCTCACTGGCAACCTCACACCACAGCTAGCATCTCTGCCTAGTCTTAGTGCACTTTATATAAATGGGAACAATCTGACAGGAGTGCTTAAATTCTCTGTAGACTTTTATGGGAAAATGGGAAGGCGCTTTGGGGCTTGGAATAACCCAAATCTCTGCTACCCAGTTGGGTTAATGAAAGCAACTAATGCTCCATATGGAGTAAGGTCATGCCAACGAGGTGTCACTTTGCTTGAACCCAGTTCCAGGGCAAAGTTAGGGGAAGGGAATTTTAATCAGAATTCCCATTTCATTGCCTCATTGGGATACTCAAGCTATGGTATTCATGGGCTTTGGCTGTTTTTCTTGGTAGATATATTGATAACGGTATTGCTATTGAATCTTTTCCTATAGGTTAGGTCCTATTTAGAAAAAGAAATGGTTAGGCCTCATAATTGGACCCTTTCACATGCAAGAGCTATGGTCTCTTTCTGTCTTGTAACTTAACATCAAGCTAAAATCGTTTCTGTAATTACAAATCTTTCATTGTCCATATTGCTAAAAATCCGCTAATTAACATGCATTGATGCACTGCTTTGCCCCATGCCTTTGGTGTCAAGTAAGGTTATTATCTTTTGGGGAATAAAATATATACTACCATTTTCCAAGTTGTGAATTTGTCTTCTCTCCCAGAACATTTCAGTCATAACCCTTTACTTGTCAACCTTATCCAGCAATTCTTATTTTGGTTTCTGATGGACAAACAAAATAAGCGAGTTCAAATGATTGAATTTTCTGCAAGCAGGAGAATGGAGATGAACTGCGATTCATGTTTTGAGTTTTTGATTGGATTTCCAAGGCATGGAAGTTAGGATTTTAATACATTGAAAGCGAAGTATGGGGGATAATGGAGGCTTTTAGGCTGTCGCTTGCTGTTCAGCTGCAAGGCCAGTACTTTTGCTTGTGTGGATAGAGACTTGCAGCCTGTATAGGTACAGTGCAGAGGTCTGTGTTGTGTTCAAAGATGATAATCAGTTGAAAATTTAACACTGTACAAAGAATAAAGATAGAAAAATTCAAATGCTGTGCCTGCTGAGCTGTCTTTGTTCTAGGTTGGCTTCTGACCCAAATTGAATGTTCATTGGACTGATCCCTTGAGAGTTGTGTTCTATTTCAATCCAAGACTATGTCAAAGTCTATTATTTTCATTTATACTCGAGTCACAAGGTCAGGTTTCGTTCTTTTTTTAAACTGTTTTTCTTCCTATTAATTGGTCTTATGTAGGGATATTTGTCGTGTCTCCTCCTGAGATTAGTGGTTAATTTAATGAATGAATTATGAAAGAAAATGAAGCTGTTAAACAATTCAACATATATATATATATATATATGATTTCAGGAAAATGAATTTTGCACTTTCGAAATCTCATTCCACTCTCACTCATAAGCAAAATTCAATTTGCTGATTATTGTTTACAGGCTTAAGCTGCCTTTGTAATATAAAATTTGATTATAGGAGACCATTCAACAAACTTTTGCCTTTTGAAACGCTTTGTTCACAGGGGTCAGAGGCATGCAGATGACTTTTACCTCAATTCTTTTTGTTTCAGTTAATTGATGCCTAATTAATTATAAGGTAAGTGATAGTACAAATGATCATGATTATCAGATCTGAACCATGTAGTTAACAAGAAGGCTTACTGCCAAATGGAGCCCAACAAGCAAAACTCTGATAGGCTCATGTTGGGCTCATCAACTTACTAGCAGCAGCCCATATTGTTTTGAGCTCAAGCTCAACGCCAAAATCTCGAGTGTTAATTTTATAAGTTTAAAATGCAAAACTCTTTTTTTTTTTTTTTTTTCTGTTTTACCAATAAATTTTGAAGTTTTCTTTATGGCCTGAAACTTGAATGTGTGTTATTTCACTTTAAAACTCTTTTTTTAGGGGTATATAATTAGGTTGCTTTTTGCTGCCAAATCTTCAATAATAATATATTAAAATTTTTTTAGTGAAACTGTTCTATGTTAAATTTTAGTAGTTATTTTTAATTTTTTTTATATTAAAAGGAAGATTTTGATTGCTTATCCATTGAGCTAATTTGTCATTGGTTGCTGTTTTTATTATATTGTTTGATACAACAAATGTTTTGTAAAGTGGCCAATTAAGTATTTGCTCAAAAGGTACGCATAGTAAGCAAATTTTTAAAAATTGTAATTACGGGAGAAGTTAAATGTGTAATATCATCTTTAAATGAATTAAATAGATAAAAAAAAAAAAGTATATTAAAAATTAAAAAAAAAAAGTTTCTCGTAAAGCGGGTCTTCTTCTAAAAAACAGCCACCACGTGCATCTTTGGACAAAAGGAGTGATTTGGTTTAGTTTTAGAAGGAATTACATAAGACAAGCATAAAGCCATTTTGCCTTGAAAGAGGCATTTATACCTTGAGAGAACACAATCTCTGGAGAAGTGTAGCAAAATCGATCCACATTTCCACCAGTAGAAAAAAAAAAATTAATGCATCAAATTCCAGAAAACATGATATGATATGGTTGGTAAAGTAAGAGTTGTACTCGTACATGCATCAATTGGAGAAGAACTAGAGCCAGAGAATATATACAAATAAAACCCTGACCTTCTCTTTCTGTATGAAAACTGCCAGTCAATCAAGACTGCTCTCGAGTCTTTGACCATTCAAGAATCCCAATGGATTTTGGTTTTGGCTTTGTTTTTGCTTTAACTGTAACCAACAACGTTTGATTCACCCTTTTCGTTTAAAATTTTGAAATGCAAGAAAGATACTTACGGAGTAGGTACTAGGACTAAGTAATCAACGGGATAAATAACACAAAACAATGTCCTAATATTAATAACTTTTGAGGTTAATGTCCTTCACATAATCTGACTCCGACAGCAATATCTGTGCTATGAATCTGCTGCAAATTTTCTACTTGATGAAAACCTTATCGAGGAAACAGAAAACAGATATTGTGTTTCGTTCATCTCATCTCATCCAGACTTAATTGGATTGAGAAGAGAAAAAGACGTTATTTGATTCCTACAACGATCATTGTGACATGTTAGTAACTGTTAGAGGAGCAGGCTTCCACTATAAGTATTTGATGATGACAAATTTAAAAAAAAACTTACAGTAGTATAATAGAATGAATATTTAGTAACAGGTTTCACTTTCCAACTCGAGCGAAAATTAGAATGTTCATCCTAAACGACAAGATTTTTCCCGCAACGGAAGATGAAATCAAATAAGTTTAAAAGAAGAGACATTACTCCCAAAAAAATGAGAAAGAAGCTATACATAGATATACCCTGTCAAATAATCACATTCATGCCATTGCCCATTTCCTTCCACTAGCTAAAAGGTAGCTTTATTTGGCATGAGACAACAAATTGCAACCCATGCTCGCCATTTCCATTAATATGAGGAATAAGGCAAAATAAATGGAAAACCAAACCTCCACGTTACCTCTTCATTGCTTAACAACAAAATCTAAAGCCTAGCGCTTTGCAAAAGAAAAAAAAAATTCTACAGCCTAGCGGATCTTAAGACACTGTCATCATTATCAAAACTCAAATCTAAACTCTAAGCAGATAAACACTGAGTTCAGGGCCTCCGGTACCATCAGGATTCATCATGTAAAAGGCTTCCGAGTCTTTTGACCCAACAACCCTTTCGAACCTAGCTCTCATGTACATCAGCTCACCCTCAGACCCAGCTCCATTCCCATTGCAATATCCTGGTAGCACACCAGCACCCATTGAAATTGGCTCCACCGTCTTCAACACTTTCCACTCCTCCGGTCCACATTCACGCCTTATTGCGAACCCACATTTCTTGCCATTGCAGTAAGTCCTCCAAACAGACTCCTCTAGCAACTTCACCCCTTTTTTCCCTATCTTCTTTTCACACTCTAAGGCAATTCTAACCAATCCAGAAGCCATTTCCCGAACCAAAACACTTGTTGATGTTGCAAGTTGGATTAAAAATGCTGGACTTAATTTTGCTTCTTCTTGAAAAGCAAAATGGACGTGCCCACGCCGGTATCCGAACAGGGTTCCTACAACTCTGGTGCCTAAAGCCGAACGGTAGGCTGATCGGTTCTTACCAAACAAATTGAGAGCTGACCGAAGCTTAGAAACTGCTATAGTTGGCAGCTTCTTTCTTGGTGTTGGAACTAAAGAAACTTGACATGGGACTGGGATTCGGAGCTCCTCTGCTTCTTTGGCTTGCGCACAAAAATGCCAAGAGGAGCTGTGGGTTAGGATTTCTTCCTCGTCATCATCATCTTCAACCTTCTTTTTCCAGTTGAAATATCTCCTAGAGAAGGAGAAAGAAGAAGAATCGTGGGGGCTCTTCGCTGTGACTGTCTTCATATGGGAAAGGGAAGAAACAAGTAGGCACAACAAGTAACTCCTTATAGACAACAAATTTTGGACTAAAGAGAGAATGAAGTAAAGATAAGTAAAGAGTTGTGTGTGTGTGTCCGTGTGTTTTTGTATTCTATCTATTAGTGATTTGTTAGTGACTGTAGGGAGGCTTTTATTCTCTGCTTATTAAGGCCTTTTTTGTTTTTTTGTCAACACTGTAGGATTGGGGGCCCGGGCCGGGGGTTTGCAAGGGAATCAATCTGACAAAAAGAAGTTGAGCAGCCCCACCTAACCGTGCCAGGGGCAAAGAAATGGGGAACTGAGAGAGAGAGAGAGAGAGAGAGAGAGGGATTTGAAAACGATATTATTGGAGAATAGAATAGCGGGATTTCTTTATCATGTGGGGGAGGATAGACTGAAAATAAGGGAAGGGGAGCGTGGCGTAGAGATTAGAGAGCGAAAGGTGTTAGGAAAATGGGTCTAATATTATGTAAGTGATTTTGGATCAAATAAAGGTTATTAGTTTTGATTTTTTATTTTATACAGAATCTTAACTATTTAATAAAATAGATGTGAGATTATTTTAAGTGTGCGTCGAAAATTAAGCAGAGAAAAAAAAGTTAAGAAAAGCAGAGAGAGAAAAAGGAAAAGGGAGAGTTAGTTGAACGGAAGTCGATCCGTGGTCCGATTGAGTTGGAACCTTGTCATGAGGTTTATGATTCAGAGTTCTACATTCTGAACGGTGAAGATCGAGTTTGAAGCTTTCTACGAACAAATCCATGATGTATTTATTGAGTCACTTATTTGATGAAATTTTTTTAATTATTTCTTTAGTTGTTGATTAGCTCTAATTTTAACTAGAGAAAAACTTTGTATAATTATTATTTGATAGTAAAAATTTTTTTGGTGACCTGTAGTTTTTTTTTTTACACTGAAAGGTTTTTTTATGTAAATTTTAATGTATTTTATTTTTTTTACGTATTTGATTATTGATTGTTATCTATTACTTCTGTATTATTGTGATTATTATTTCAGGTGCAACAAAAAAAAAAGATTGACCGTTTAGCCTGACTTGCATTTGGAAATGTTAAAGGCAGCTGGTAAAGCCACACCAACCGTACCCACCACCCTCTATTCTGCCTTTCACAAGTTACGACACCCACTGTAGCTCCGATCGGCTTTCTTATATGATTTGCTTTCTTTCTCTGTACCAAAATTAGCCTCCTTTATTTCAATGTCTTTCACTATGGAGTAGCAGTATTATCTTTCTGAATTTGAGAGAATAATTAGTCTGACTGTTGCAAATGAGGCCAGCAGCATTGGATTTATAGATAGATTCAGTATAGTCTGAAAGCCGGATTAAAGCTAGCCCCTCTTCTACTTTGTTTAATCCTGAGGTTCAAAGAGTATTGTTATCTTACTCATTTCCTTCATTTTAATACTACAACAAGGTAATTAAAATGCATATAATAATAATAATAATACTCTATCCCACATTCTTTTTTCTTAGCTCCCTAACCAATGGCATATGAATTTTCTATTTTATTGTTTAAATAAAACTAAAAAAATTTGATGGAACTTGATGCTGCCAAACAATTTAGCACGTGCCGTACCAGATCTCGAGGACTATTGACAGAACAAATGAAGTAAGTGTTTATTTCAAGTTAATTCAATTGATTAAATTCATTTTTTTCAACAAAAAATTTTTTATTTTTAATTTTATTGATGATTATTTATTAAAATCATATCAAATATATAATTTATAATTATTTATTTTAAATTATTAAATATAATAAATTTTATCTTACTTTAATAAATTAAATAACTTATCTATCTCAAATTTTATCTTTTAACCATTGAATCCGTAAACTTAATTCCTGCAAAAAAAAAAAAAATGAGGCTGCAAATGCAATCATCTTCTTTTGAGACATGTTTGAAATATAAAGCTTCGTAGATCCCAAGGTCAGGCCCCGAGATTGATTCAGAATTTTGTCTCCCTATTGCATATGTTCCACATGTGCTGCAGGCAATCCTATAGGGTCAAACATGGTTGAATTTTCGACCACCATGATTAAGTCCCATCCACATGCAAATAGCTAGAAAATCGCATGTTTTAAGCTATTTTCCAATTTATGGGACCAACCAAAGCTCACGGATCAACCAACCAGGAATTAATGACGACCAAAAAGTAGAAGTTGAGCTACAACTGCAACGAAGTACATAGTTTTTTTGTGTATCACTACCAACCACTTTATATCATGACATAGTTGTTTTGTGTATCACTACCAACCACTTTATATCATGATTCTTATTGGACAGCTAAAGAAGATCATAAAGCATATTTAACTCAAGATTAGGCAATAACTAATGCATTAACAATCAAGAACTGAGAAGATAGTCTTTGCTGGTGCAAAATTCGTCCGTGACTGATGTATAGATAACCAACCAAACTTATTCAGCATAAACAAAGTTTATAAGTCCCCCTGGCCCTGAAAGGTGAACGAGAAAGGATTTCACAAAACAAAAACAACCCACTAATTAATTAATTTGATGCAAAAACTCAGCATAATAGTTCAACCCAGACAGAAATAGAGAAAAGTTGATATGCCCTGATCAACACCCTGTCTGCAACTGACCTAATTTTATGAACTGGGCAACTGGGGGCATATAATTCCAATCCAGAAAAACTGAAACTACTTAATTTCTAGTGAAAAATCACTACGATGTAAGTTATCTTCATCATCTCCTACCATATGAAATTAATGTTGTCCTTGGAAAACCTTTGCTCCCCGTTTTCTGGAACTGGTGCTTTAAACCCAAGAAATAAACCAATCATTTGGCTTTGGAATTTCTAGTTAATGTTCATAAATTTATATTACAGCTTTGTTTTACGCTACTATGCGTAGAAGAAAGAAAAGATGAGAACAGAAAATGACTGCAACAAAAACTATAGGAACAAATCTGGATTTGGTCCCGCCTCGCTAAATCATCTTGTTCACTTTAGTTCCTCTATGACAACTTGTATGACTGAACCTTATCTACATCTAAGTATAACAATCAGTAACACCGGTATGAATAAGTTTGGTTAATGGCGTGGCAATTTACATAACAGTATTTCTACAGACTGCAACAATGAAATTCGGGAATTTCTCATTGTGCATTTTACAAAAATCAATCTTACAGGTAAGTTTTTTATGTCAATAAACTACCAAGCCTGATCAAGTAAAGGAGTCACTGTTGAGCAGAGAAACCTAAACCCAAAAGAATAAAGAACAAAGGACACCGCATATGAACAAAAGTGCTCCACTTCAAACTATTAGCAACATTATGCAATCAGATGGGGAAAAAACAATCAAATAATGCTAAACTCTACAATCTCATTGCAGTCAGTTATTCTTGAGGTCACCCTGTCAAACACCTTTAATTAAACAATTGTATTAATTAAGTCCACTTGGAGTCATTATTCCATTTGTCACCTTGTAATACACCACGGATTCATGATATGAAAAAGGGTCACTCCATATCTCCAATTCAGAAATTTTATTAGGCAATCAAAAACTTTTATCTTCAAAGAATTGACAAGTAAACCAAAGCATTAAGTCAATACTACTCTCTTTGATCTTGTTGCTATTAAACTTAATTCACATGCATGTAGTTTTACATGAATTAACTAAAAGAAATGTAGATATAAAGAGGAAACTCTAAAGATTAGATCGCACACACATGCAAAAACACGAAAGTCTCTCCTAATATCAAGAAGAATTTTAGCACCTAGTAGATTCAAAATCTATTCAAAATGGCTTCAGAACAACAATTATTTTATATCAAGCCTCTTAAAAACAGTCTTCTAGTAATTTGAGATTCAGTTTAAATAAACAACTCAAATCTTTGGCTGATATAAATCAGGCATAACCCCAAGAAAACACAACCAAAAAATGTTAAACTGGAAAACCAAATCAAATCACATCCAATACCAGCCAAGTATCTATTGAGATAAGTGTGGCAGATTCAAGGTCAAACTCTTAGAAGGTTGATCATAATTAGACAAACAACATTACAACAATACTAGTGCATAGACATTGTAATTATTTCCCAAGAAAAAAAAAAAAGAATTAGATGCCTAAACATTAATAAGTAACATGTATAAAAAGGAAGCTAACAAGAAAATAATAAAGTTGAAGGATTAATGATAATATGTCTAATACTAATAGTGAGAAATTTAAAGGTTTTGTTCCTGCAGAAATGAAGAAGAATGTGAGCTGTGGAAGCAATTACTACGTTTGGATGTCTGCTACAAGAATGAATGTTTTGAACCATTGGAATCTGCTTCAAAGAGACCATTCAATATCATGCCAAACTAAGAGGGAGGTTAGATTGTGCCATGTAGTGGAACTTGGTAGTCCAGAATTACAGATATTAATGTTGCTTCACTAATTCTCCTGCGAACTAGGAGGCTTTTCAACATTTCTTTGTGAAGGACATTCCTTATGACTGTTGCTTTACTAATTTAATTTTACTCAAGTAAACGCCAGTTAAATCATTAGATATTCAAAGAGATACAAGAATCATCCACCAATATACAATGTAATAATCAAGAGAAATGTAACTTCTGGTTAAGATTCAGATAATATGTATTGCCAAAATCATTGATGTTGATGGTGCAATAAAGCAACAAACTCCTGGTTATTATAAAATGCTAAATCCATCTAACCACAAACACTTTAGTCTGACAGAGTGGATTTATTGAAACTCAGGAAACCTCGATTAATTTGTAAGATGTTGAAAAGAGAAACAGGAATCAGACTATGATCAATATATGGTGAACACAATGTAATTATGTTGACAGTGCAACCAAGCTCCAAGAAAATAACTCAAAAAAGCCAACTCAACTTTGAATATATCTACCCCAATCTTACCTAAGGCAATTCACCATAATTTTATGGGTAGGTATTCTACAATAGAGGACAAACCCATCTTACATGACTAATTGATTATCCAGTTTGAAGGACTTGCTCCTAGTTGTTACCAGTATTATTCTTTCCAGTCGCTTTTAACACTGAATATATTTTTATCAATATTAACTTTTTATATTTTTCTTCTATTAGTTTTTAAATTATATTTTCCAATAGAAAATACAAATAGAAAAAAAAAAAAAAGCAGAAGCCCACGAACATTAGATAATTTTGGTAGATAAACAAGTCCATCAATATATCTCCTGGTTACTTTTATTAGAATTATTCAATACAACAACCAACAAAGTTTCCTAAGTTAAACCATAGTTTTAGTAAACCACAAACCTAATATGTAAATGTGCAGAACCACATGTACAAGGGCAGTGATTAGTAATATCCCAAAAGTTTCCGATTCATGTGTCTGTATAAATGTTTGTTTTAAGTTGACTTATTCACAAAATAAGTAAAAAGAAACATTATATGAATAAATGCAAATGATAAATAAAGCAGAAAGAAGCAAGCAAGAGAACAATATAAAAAGCTGAAGCATAAAGAGCATGCAATCAACACAGAAATATGATACTATATGAATAACAAGAAATGCAAGGGATTTGTACCTTGGACGAAGAATAAGAGCAAATTTTAAACGGATCATAGAGAATTGCTATTTCCTTATCATCACAGTAACAATACTTTTAGCTGCTTTCTATTTGAAATGATCTCACATGTGGCACAAGAATACTTGTAAACAAAGTGCTCAAATCTGTTTGCAAGAGGCATAGATTCTGACAGGGACAAGAATAAATGTTTTTTTCCCCTTTTCCAAATGCTGATGAAATGAGTTACGGAAGCAGGGTAATGAGGACCTTTGCCCTATTATGGAGGATCAGCAGGATAATTAACAGAAGTACCAGATGATGCCCATACAATTTAGTTGAATGTTGTTGCAAGAATGCCTCATGAGCTGCATTATGAAGACATGGGTTGCTAATGTGTGATGAAAAATGAGATGTGTTAGTGGTTTATAAAAGCTAGATGTGTGTTAGTGATTTATCGAAGTTAGTTGTGTGTTAGTGGTTTTTGTTTATGGTTTGCAAATAGGAAGATCATGCCCTGTAACTAGTAGTCATTCTAGTTTTAGGTTAAAATCCTTTTGTATTTAAGGAAGTTGCATTGAATGAAGAAGTAGAACAACATTTCAGTTTCATATTCTCATTGTTCATTCTTACAAGTCTTTTTTTTTTCTCTGTAAAACCAACAAAATTGGTATCAAAGCCAAGTATCTTGAGGGATCGGTGAGTTGAGTGAACTAAAAAAAAAATTTATTACAAACAGAAATCCTCTACACAAACACAGCAACACACAAAACCCTTAGTCAAATGGAGTCAAATAAGACATTCTCAGTTGAACCACCAAGTCAAATAAGACATTCTTAGTTCAACCACCAATCTTTGATGGTGACAACTATCAAGTCTGGGCTATTAGAATGACAGTACATTTGGATGCTTTGGATATGTGGAAAGCAGTGGAGGATGACTATAAAGTTTCTACACTACCTGTTAATTCAACAATTGCTCAGCTTAAGAATCAGAAAGAGAAAAGGATCAAAAGTCAAAAGCACGAGCTTGCTTATATTCTGCAGTTTCAAGCATCATATTCACCAGAATCATGAACCTACAATCAACAAAAGAGAATTGAGGAGTATCTCAAGAGGGAATACCAAGGTAATGAAAGGACAAAGAACATGCAGGTGCTAAATTTGATTAGAGAATTCGAGATGCAAAGAATGAAAGAGTCGAAATCCATCACAGAGTATTCTGACAAGCTGTTCAGTATTGTGAACAAGGAGAGATTGTTTGGTAAGGATTTTTCAAATGAGAGAATTATGCAAAAAATTTTGGTTACATTACTTGCGAAATATGAAGCTAAAATCTCTTCTTTAGAAGAGTCAAAGATCTGTCAAAGCATTTTCTTGGCAAATTGGTGAATGCATTGCAGGCAAAAGAGCAAAGAAAGACGATGAGACGAGAATTCTATGGAAGGTGCTTTTCAAGCAAAGGCACGGAATTCAGGAGGAGGCAAAGAAAAAAGGAACAATAGGAAGCAAAACAACAACAAGCCTAGCAACAATGCAAGCAACAACAAAAGCAAGGATGGAACTTATCCACCTTGTCCACACTGCAAGAAGACCAATCATCTGCAAAAGAAGTGCTGGTGGGGGCCAGATATTTAATGCAGAAAATGAGGTCAGATTGGGCACATGGAAAAAATTTGCAAGCCACATAAGCATGCAGGAGGACCATATAACCTTTCTATATAACACAAGCAATGGCAGAATTATGGCATAGGAGGCCTGGGCATTTCCATCATGCTGGACTTCTTTATATGCAAAAACACAATCTGGTGAAAGGAGTACCATTGCTGGAAGAGAAGATGGTAGATTGTGTGGCTTGTTAGTATGGCAAACAAGTCAAAAGTTCCTTTCCTCAAACTACATGGAAAGCAAGACACAAGCTTCAACTGGTTCACACAGATGTAGGAGGACCTCAAAAAACATCATCTTCAAATGGATAGTAAGTACTATATTATTTTTATTGATGATTATACCAGATTCTATTGGATTTATTTTCTTAAATTCAAATATGAGGTTGTTGGTGTATTTTAGAAATTTAAAGTATGAGTGAAGAATCAAAGTGGTTGCAGAATGCAGGTAATAAGGTCAGATAATGGAAAGAAATACACTTCTGACAGATTCGACAAATTTTATGGGCAGAAGTTGCAAACACAGTAGTCTTTCTACTAAACCGACTACCAACTAAAGTTCTGCAAAAGAGAACTCCATTTGAAGCATGGTTTGGTTATAAACCAGACTTGCAGCATCTAAGAACCTTTGGTTGCCTATGCTTTTCTTATGTGTCACAGGTAAAAAGAGACAAACTAGATAAAAAGGCAGAACCAGGAGTCTTTATTGCATATAGCAACTCATCCAAGGCTTACGGAGTTTTCCAACCACAATGAAAAAATTCTTGTGAGCAGAGATGTTAAGTTTATTGAAGATAGACGATGGAACTAGAAGGAGTCAAAAAGGAGCAACACTCAGAGTTTCAGAAAATCCTGAGGATGACATAGATGAAGCACCAGTCAAAGGTACAAGGCCATTGTTTGATATATATGAAAGGTGCGAAATTGCTGTTTTTGAGCCTGCAGAGTTTAAAGAGACAAAGAAGAATGACAAGTGGATTGAAGCAATGAAGGAGGAGCCTAGAATGATTGAAACGAATGACATTTGGGAGCTGGTGGACAGACCTCAACATAAAAAACCTATAGGTGTCAAACAGGTTTACGGAACCAAACTTAATGCAGATGGTTCTATAAACAAATATAAAGCCAGATTAGTTATGAAAAAGTATGCTCAAGTGTTTGGGGTAGATTTCTCTAAGGCTTTTGCTTCAGTAGCAAGACTTGATACAATCAGAATGCTACTTGCCTTGGCAGCACAGAAGGGATGGAAGGTTTACCAACTGGATTTAAAATCTGCGTTTTTGAATGTTTATATATAGGAAGAGATCTTTGTGGCGCAGCATAAGGTTTCCTAGTCAAGGGACGAGGAGAAGGTCTACTTGTTAAAGAAGGCCTTGTATGGCCTTAAACAAGCTCCCAGAGCCTGGTACAGCAGGATTGATGAACACCTGCTAGGTCTTGGTTTTGTTAAAAGCCTAAGTGAAGCTATGTTGTATGTAAAAGAAACTGACGCTAATCTAGTTATAATTTCTATTTATGTTGATGACATGCTTGTGGCAGGAAGTGATGAGGAGCTAATAAAGGAGTTAACAGCTGAAATGCTCAAAGCATTTGAGATGACAGACCTTGGTCTGATGTCCAATTTTTTAGGAATGGAGGTGAAGCAAAATCATGATGGAGTCTTTATATGCCAATGCCAAAAGAAATATACAGGGGAAATACTTAAGAAATTTCATATGGAGGACTGCAAATCACAAATACCCATATGAATCAGAAGTAAAAATTAGCAAGGATGATGGATCAGACAAAATTGATGAAGGTCGGTACATAAGTTTGATTGGTTGTTTGATGTATCTTACTGCCACCAAACCAAACATCATGTTTGCAGTGAGCCTGCTCTCACAATTCATGCATTATGCCAGTGAGGTTAACTTTCAAGCTACTAAAAGGATTATCATATATATTAAGGACACAATAAATTATGGTATCAAATATTTCTACTATCAGGATTTTAAGCTCCATGGTTATTTGATAGTGATTGGGTTGGTTCAGTTGATGACATGAGAAACACAATAGGTTTTTGTTTTAGCTTTGGATCAAGAATGTTCTGACGGTGCTCAAAGAAGCAAGAAGTGATAGCTCAACGTACAGATGAGGCTGAGTATGTTGCAGCCACTGCAGCTGTGAATCAAGCACTTTGGCTCAGGAAGATACTTGCATTTATTCATAGAAGAGAATGAGCCAACACAGATTTATATAGACAACCAAACTGCAATTCCAATATCAAATAATCCTGTTTTTCATGGTAGGACTAGACACTTTAAGATCAAATTATATTTCTTAAGAGAAGTGCAGAAAGAAGGTGAAGTCAGTTTGCTTTATTGCAGAACTGAGGATCAAATTGCAGATGTGTTAACCAAAGCCCTATCCAAAGCTAGATTTGAAGCTTTAAGAAGTAAACTAGGTCTTTGCAACTACTGAGGCAAGGAGGAATGTTACATGAATGCAAACATGGGCTGCTAATCTGTGATGAAAAATGAGATGTGTGTTAGTGGTTTATGGAAGTTAGTTGTGTGTTAGTGGGTTTTGTTTATGGCTTGCAAATAGGAAAATTAAGCCTTGTAACTAGCAGCCATTCTAGTTTTAGGTTAAAATCCTTTTGTATTTAAGGAAGTTGCATTGAATGAAGAAGTAAAACAACATTTCAGTTTCATATTCTCATTGTTCATTCTTATGAGTTTTTTTTTTTTTTCTCTGTAAAACCAACAAATGTAAAGGTACCTCAACGTTCATGAAATTCAAGAGTGATGTAATCACTCGCCACTAGCAAAGGATATCCAAAGCAAATTTTTCTTAAATAAAGATTTATTCCGCTTAAGAGTGAGTAAAATAATAACAATAATAATAATAATAATAATAAACTGGGGGCGAAATTCCTAAATTTGCACTTGGTAAATTCATGAAAACTCCAATTTGCAAATCTTTTAATCTTGGCTAGAAAATAAAAACCATCAAAATTCACATTGACCGTACAATACAATTACAATACAGCATCATGAAACCCATCGATCAGTCATCAGAAAGCAACAAAGCAAAATCTTAAAACGCATTCAGCAACTGTCAACTGGATGAGATTGAGATGGAAAATGATTGAAGCCATTTCGTACCATTTTCTCCAGTGGCCAAAACTAATGCTGGGGCAGTTTATCCCAATCACACCAATCCCATCCATCGCACTTATTTGGCTTCAGGTTTTGCGGGACTTGATCGGGATCCCCCAACACTGCACGCAGAAAGATGGTGACGTAATGGGCTGGTTAGGGTTCGTCCAGGAAGAGGTTGTTGGTCACTGTTAAGTACTCTGCTTTCTCCATTTCCAAACTCGTTTCCTCCTTCAGCTCTCTAGCACCGCAGTCCTCAAAGCTCTCCCCTGCAACAGTTGTCTTTTAAATACGACAAGTAAAGGTTTCTCAAATGTAAGAGAACCAAAAATAAAAAATAAAAAAGGAAACAATTTATTAACTACTTAGTAAATATGCAGTGAGGAGAGAGAGAGAGAGAGAGAGAGAGAGAGGGAGAGCAAACTCGAGTTAACCACTAGGGAGAGCAACTGTGGAGTCACCGATGGAGGAGCGGCAGCGCCCCAACAGGACCGATTTTCCCTTAAGCACAAACAACACCACCCCTGCTTGTGGCGACGGCTTTTTTTCCTCCATCAGGACACCGTTTTGCAGATTCTGCTAGCGAAGCAATTGAAGTTGAACAGAACAGAGCGTCAAAGCATCCCGGTTTCTTCTACCTCTGTTGCTGCTGCCAGGGGCATTCCGTCATGGTCTTTTATACAGCATTTAAACCTAACGGGAAAGGTACGGCGTCGTTCCACTCCAACTGTTTATCCCGCAATTCAAAGTGTGCCTTTTGTGGAAAATGACTTTTAAAAAAATATATGCATATATTTATTTAATAATAATAATAATAATAATAACGTCAAAAAATTTGATTGTTTTGTTTGGTGGGTGGTGGGGGTCACTAGGACGTCCTACCATTCTTTTCAAATATAAAGTATCCGTTTGAATTCGTTGGCATTTTTATCGTGAGTGATTAAATTTATTATATCATCAATTTAATTTAAATATTAATTTTAATTAAATTTATTAATATAAATTTTTTATTAAATTTTTTTAATTATAATTATAATCATTTTTATTATTATTTTTAATCTTATTATAATCAATCTCATTATTCATCCAAGTCATAATATATCTTTCGAAAATAATGCTCAAATGTATACACAACACTTTGTCTAAACATGAATCCATGATGACAATATTAACTAGCATTCAGAGCTGTCAGCTTGTGGCTTTGTTTTCATCATTATGTTCATGCATCATGGACGTGAAGGCTACCCTAGCCTACTTCTTTTGGACCGACAAAAATTACCAAAATCTACAAAAAAACCATAAGAAGAACAGCTATCAGTGAACATTTGAAACAAACAACATTATCGAATTTGGTCATCATAGTAAATTCAATTACCAAGGAAGATTTTTAACATCCTAAAGCACTAACACCATAACAAACGGGTTAAAGTTGATGACACCAATTTACTGTCTCGTTGCTGCCACAACAAGCAACACTGCCCTGCCCCCTCTATGAAGATATAACCAAAAAAGAGAGAGAGAGAGAGAGAGATGCTGGCACTTATAACACACATAGCTTCAGAGGATGGCATTTGGATTACCGTGCAAGAGTTTGCACATTTCAATATGAGAGAACTAGTAACTCTCAACTTAGTCCAAAAGGGCCACCTCATTGTTGATTTGTTGGTGATGAGAAATGGTTTCTCCCAATCAAACCAAAAAGAATAAAGAAAGGGCACCAACGTGTAACATTTCTTATCCCTCAGATTTTAAGGAATGCCTCACGCATACTAGATCATCCAATTTGTTACCATCCATTTTGTACAGAGAAACGCCTTCCATTTGGGCATAATGATCTAGCGCTTCCTTTCTTACACTCTCAAAAGGCATGATTTCCCATTTGCTGTAATTTGAATGTTTCCTAACACGACTCATGTCTGGGGATCCTGAAATAGGCCCCCTTTTGTAAGGGTCCACGCTGCCCCAGACCTTGCAACTACCAAACTGTCCCCATAGATCAGCTGCACCCCTTTTTATGCGCAAGGCAGCAGCATGAGCTCTGCTTATCATTTCTCTATTTGGCACATCAGACCAGTCTTGCTTCCTCTTGGCTCTCATAGGAGAATGAATCCTGATAACCTGGAAAGCACAAACCATGAATTGTGGATTTTTTTTTATGCATAAAAAATTAAAATTGGAATTAAAAGCCTCCACAGTATTTTGCAGGGGGGAAATATCATACACCAAGGCACTCTAGCAGTTGATAATATGCCCTTCCTTGCAGTGGATTATGCCCTTTCCTTGGTGTAGAGAAGTACCTTGTCCTACAAAAAAACATCGTGAAACTATAAGCAAGAAACAGGGGAAAAAGCTGCTTACCATCTTACACACACACACACACACACAAAAAAGTCTCAAATTGAACAAGAAAAAAAATAATAACAATGATGATTCAGTTGAAAAAGTATCAGAGAACATATGTTTTTCTACCGGATACTAGTAATTATTAAAAGTCAACATTCATCTTCTTCAAAATTCAACCAGTAAAACAAACTTTTTGCCACCAACCCTACATCACTTGATTTCTGTTTTTCAAAAAGAAAACTAGAAACTATCAGGCATTCTTCTCCATTTGAACTGACAGAATTATTGACAAAAATGTGTCTATTAACCATCTCTAATACATTTAAGCCTCACATCCAAAACCATTGGAGACAAACCAATAAAAGTGAAAAGTAATTTTGTATGAAAATCTTAATGAGCTGCAGACACAGAAGAAAGAAATAATAGAAGAATTAACTGACCATTCAGTATAGCCTGGATCAACAGTGAAACCATATATATCAATAATGTCACACATAGAAAGCGCTAGCTCTATAGATTTCATTCCAGTTCCTTTGGCACCCCTTCGTAGAACAATTCCTTGAAAGAGATAAACAGGATTTGGGATGCTCTGTGATACAAATCAAACAAAATAATTTAATTGTGACACAGAAAAATCAGCTTATAAATCAAGCATTTGTTCCTGCAATCATCAGAAGAATTAAGAAATGAGAGAATTCCTAAAAGATGCCCTTGCAAGAACCAGTACCAACAGCAAACAAGAATAAATAACACTGAAGATGGCACTCTAAGGGTTGCTGGAGATTTGATCTGATAACTGATACCTAGCACAGCACCCCAAAATCAAATATGCCATCATAGTGGCCAGCTTCAAATTCTGTTACTTTTTCACACAACCAGGTACTCAATACAAATAAACATTTTTTGTTTCATGAGATATGATCCACACCTTAATCATTGTATTAAAATCCCTATGGGTTAGACTCTTGATTATAAGTACCTCATCATCTGCATTGAAGAACAAGTATGTGAGTATGTTTTAACATCATATTAAGAAGTCAATACATGCATGCATGGCACATGTTTGCTAGATGAACAATAGAATATGTATACATAAAATAGATAGAGAGAAGGGCAGCTTTCTTTTTCTCAAAAATGTAGAAAGTGAAATGAAAATAAGAGTATGCAGGATAATCATTCAAGATTTTATCAGCAACATTAACATAGACAGATGCTCACCAGATCCCTTGAGAATCTTAACCATGTTTCGAGCAGCACCCCGTACCACAAGGCGGAAATTCCTCTTAAGACCAACATATTTTGGCATATCTCTGTTAAGTGAGTGATAAGGGAGATAAACATTTTCATAGACTAAATACCAACAGAAACCAGAAGAACAAAGAATCTTCAAGCACTTTCATAGACTAAATACCACCAGAAACCAGAAGAACAAAGAACCATCGGCCAATCAGCCTCATGAAAAAGATAAAGACAAAAAAGAAACAGTGGAATTTGCTACTAATTCAGATATGTCTAAGTTTAAGAAAAGTAAAATGAAAGTCTAAAAACCCGGCAGAACATACTTATATAGAATAAATAGCATTAAGGAGAAATTGTTGATGAACTATTCCACTCCTTGAAGTGACATAAGGGAAAACTAAATCAATGGGAAGAAACAAAATTGAAAGTTATCAGATTCACTTGGTACGTATTAGATTTTTAGTTTACCTCATTGACAGGAGCCTCATTGTCTCGTATAACAGCATCATGACTATCAATTTCTTTCCCAAACTCTGTCTTTAAGAGATCACCTGAGTTCCCAACAACCGCACATGTGTGAAACTGCCGCGGATGGAAAGGGGGTTTCGCTGGTAAAAGCAAATTAAGATGTTCTTCACAAAGAGTTCGATTGAAACATTTATCAGATCCCCTACGAGCCACAAGAAACAAAGTTCACAAACTTAAGTAATTTCGAAAAACATCTATTGCACCAAAATTGCGTAAAACCAAAGCTAAGAATTAGAAAAGATAAACCATAGAATATGTATCAAGAAAATCATACAATTGTGCAATCCTTTTTGCTGCATAGTCCAACCATCCATCTGGCCGAGCATCTAGATATTCTCTAGTCAACACAGTTGTCATGTTACGGTACTGCATTGATAAAGACATTATATCATGACAAATGACTCCTTAGTGAGCAAATATAACAAGGAAAAGGATTGGACATTAACCTGTTCCCACAATAGAATGGTATCACAAATATCATAACTGTACTCCAATGGTTCATAAACCTTAAACTGCTCATTATACTGCAACCAGAAAGGCATAACAGTCAGCAAACACACATTTAAAAAGAATGAGAAGGAGGGAAGCATTATCAAGAGTAAGTAAAGAGAATCAGACCCAGGTGCTATTTGTGCCTTGAGGAAACTTAAGAACCAATTTGCAATGATCGATAACATGTGCAGTGAGTCCAAGTCCTCTGTTCGCCTACAACCAATTCAAGCTCAGTAAATGCAGACTTTCACAAACAATATACAATCATTGTCAACACTCAAATTCATCCAATTTTAGACAAAGCAGCAGTTAGATTCAACTAAACTAGTCCAAGATTTTTAATTATTATTTTATGCAACATAAACTAAAAAAATAAAATAAAAACTTTAAATTATCATCAAACTTTAAAAAATTGGGGAAAAAAAGAAGAAGAAGAAGAAGAACTAACCACGCATTGTTTAATGCTGGTCTGAAAGTCTGATAAAATCCCCACTTCCTCGGTGTTGAGATCCGATACCCGCACTTGTTCTTTGCTGAGATCTAATATTTTGTTGCTAGAACCTGAAAACCAAGTATGAATCAGGCAGATTCAGGAAAAAGCAATAAAGGAAGAATCAACAGTTAATCATTTACAAAAAAAAATAGAAGAAGAAGAATACAAAAGAACCTGAGAAGAAAGAAGATTGGATCCCGAAAACAAGAACAGAAAAAAATGCAGCAGCGCAAACTAGAGGGAGAAGCGCGGGTTTCTTGTGAGAGTGCGGTGACCTCATATTATTTTTCCACTCTCACTTTAAAAAACCAAAGGCTGATCGGAGGTTTCTTTATGATGTGAATTGTGTTATGTCCTACTCTAATCTGTTTTACTTTTTAGAGATTTGATCAATCTATCACTGCTTTATATCAGTTAGTACTCCAAAATTCACTGTAACACTCTTATTTCTCAAGGAGACAAAGGTTTAGTTTAGAAATCTTCTTAGGACAGAACCTAAACAAAAGAAATTGGACGACTAACTTTTTTTAACCCGTGCTGTGCGTGGGATTTTATTTTTTTATTCATTCATATTTTTCAGTTGTTTTTATTTTTTATTTCACACTATTTTTTTTATATATTTTGGGTGCAAATTAATTTTTATATTATATTAAAAAAATATACATATTCCTATTGATCTGCTATATATAAAATCTTGCATAAGGTATAAATAATATTGGTATATTGATCTTTAAGATAACATTTAAACACACAAATCAATTACGGATAATTTGTTTCATTTTTATTTTCTCTTTATGTTTTATTATTTACCTTATTCACTGTAATAATTTAGAAAAAATGCATAATTTCATGTTAGAAATTTAATTAGTAAATAAATCAAGATAATTTGAATGATATTTAGGTTAAATGATAGTTTGACTATTAAATTTGATCCTTTTTGCTATTAGATTGGTGACTTTTATGTGGCCATGATAATTTTTTGGTAAATTATATATCTATTTATTTATATTGCTTTTAGTAGATTATGTTATTCATCAATTCCTTTAACACCAACAAAAAAAAAAAAATCTACTCTTGAATTTCTCTTATAGAGAATTATTGAAAAAAAATTAAATTGTCAAACTGAAATTATGGTTTTACTTAGTATATATATGTTGACATGAAACTATTATGTTTTTTATTTAAAAAAAAAAGTTATCATGATGGAAGGATTAAAATTTATTATAATCTTAACAAAATGGCGTAATTAAATGAAAAAAATATAAACGTGTTAAATAGTTTATTACGTTCTTCAACTTTTTATTTTTTAATAAACAGTAAAATTTTTACTGGAAATCACAATGATAATATCATTCAAAAATAATTCAAATAAAAAATTAAATAATTTTCAATAAAAAAAAAAAAGAGAAATAGAGAAAAACTATAATATAAAAAAAAATCGTAATCATTTAAATACTAACTATAATGAAACAATTGACTCTCCGCTTGTCGAGGAATATGGCATGAGAAAATTTATTGTAAAATTTATTCTATATGATCTTTATTTTTTTTTTTCACATATGAGTATTAATAATTTAGTTTTACTTGAATTAATTGATTAAATCGATTTAATTTAATTAATCAATTGATTATAAAATTAATATTGATCAGTTAATAAAAATAATTTTATAAAAATTTTAATTTTTGATTAATTTTGTTGAAAAATCGAATTAATCAAATTAACGAATTTTTAATTAAAATATAATATAATACAAATATAAAATAAAAAATACATAAAATAGATCATTTAAATTTATAAGTTATTAAAATTTTTAACATAATACTTTGATATTTGAATATTTGTTGTATAATTTTATTTAGTTTGTTTAAATATGAGAAATTAAGAGTTTAAAATATAATTTAACTTAAATATATTAATTATTTAATTAACAGAACCGATCAAATTAAATTTAATTAATTAATTTTTAAAATTTATAAATTTAATTCAATTAATAAAAATAAAATAATACAATTCAATTAATTCAATTTTGAATAATTCAATCTGAAATTAAACGAACCAACTGAATCATTAAAAGATTGCAAAGTTTTGTTGTGTTATTGTGAAAGAAATAGCTACATATATTGCTCCTAGTATTGTGTTTTGGTACAAGAGATGCCACAAATTTTGCTTGTTAATTTGGAAAAACAGATAGAAAAACGAAAATCATTCGTAACCACCTATAATTTATAGTAAAATTTTACAAAGATGATCCGAAAATTAGCATAAAAGAATCCAAATAACATTATGCAAATTTTGAAGAAAGAATGAAATTAAATCGGAAAAATTCTAAATGTACAAACCATCCAAGTAACAAATATCAACAAATAAAGGAACATAGATTTAAATTTCGTGAGTAAATTTACATGCAAAAATCAATAAAAAAAATCGTTCGCTTGTTCACAATCACATAAGCTTTTAAAAATGCATCTTACTTTAGTGTAAAAATTAAGATGATATACACATATTTCTCTTTAAAAAATTTAGGTTTAATTTTTAAATTGAATTTTCCATTAAAAAAATTTTATCGTAATAATAGTTAAGGATTTTGTTGTATATGGAGGTTGGTAAATTATGCAATATTTGTAAACTTATTAAATTGTTGTATATGCACTAATAGCCAATATGTAACTTTGTTAAAGATGAAAGTAGTTGCAAGAAAAACTTTGGGCAGGGCACTTCCAGGAAGTTTTCTTAAATACAATAGTTCTCGTGCAAATTATTTTTAGAAAACGTTGTCTCCATGATGTAATGTCACAGAAAAGAATTGATTACCCTTCAATTTTTTTTTTTTTTTTTGATCTCTCCAGAACCATGAACCAAAAATGAAGAGATTTGATTTGATGAGGTAAAAGTCTAAAAAATTTATTTAAAATAATGTTCAACAAAGTATTTATAAGCTCCAAAAATTACCTCTAACGTCCTTTCATTGAAGGACATGACATGTTTTAAATGAAGTATTACTTTTTTTTTTAGGGTTTGCTATTTAACTATACTCGTCAATTTGACTCAATCCTATAAAATTTTTTTTATTTAAAGTCAAATTTTAGATTGGATCAAGTATTGTTAAAAAAAAATCAAAATCTAAGTTTTATACAAACTTCTCATTAAATCCGATATATATATATTATTTATTTAATTTTATATTAATATATTGATATATTTTTTTATATTTATTTAATTTTATATTTATATTTAAAAAATAAATATTTTATTAATTTTAAATTAAATCATATTTAAATATAAAAATAATATTTTAATATCAAATTGGATTAAATTTAAATATTAAATTTATAAAATTAAATCAAATTTAAATCAAATAAAAATTTATCTCAATTCAATCCGTTTTTATCTTTATTCTTTTCTTTTGGTCAATAAATAATACCTCTTTTCAAGTGAAAGATAATGTCTATCGAATTTATTTTTTGATTATGTAACAAGAGCAGTTGACTTTGTTTCAAGTACAGTGGACTGCTTTCTCAAACAGAATGCAGTTTCCACTTTTTTGGATAGGGCAGTCGATTACTCTTCAACGCGTTGCTTTCCTCAACCGGAAAGTCTCAGAGCAAAAACAATTGTTAGGGAAGTCCGCCACTCAGGGTAGTTGCTAGGGCAAGCAGTTGTCCAATCAGCTGCTCCCTTACTACTTCATTCTAAATTTATTTTGTACTTTCAAACATTATATTTCAATACAAATGCGTACAAAATGATTGTAAAACAATGTTTTTACTTTAATAAACCTTCAAAAAAACATATATTTGGTAATGATAAATATATCAGGATTACCATCTAGTTAATAGAGATAAAGATTATTATATATATATATATATGGTTTTTTTATGAAATTACAAATACAAGTTTTAATTTACATCCATATTTAAGAAAATTATAAAATAATCAAATAAATAAACTAACAAATAAACTAGATAATCTAGACAAATTGATGAACCAAACTCATACACAATAAAATTTAAACTTAAGATTTTAAAATTTTAAGGTTTTCTTCTTGCCATTAAATCAAAAACTTAATTGATTATATGATTTTAAATTTGATATGACTGATAAAAATTAAATAAACTTGGTGTGCGGTCTTAAGCTTATATATTATGTTATTATACGATGAATGTTGAAAGATTTACATAATTAATAAATTTTAAATATATTTATTTGATAAATAACATAAAATTAATAATTATAATATGTGTGATCATAAAAATAAAATTTAAAAATATTTTATCATAAAAATAAAATTTAAAAATATTTTATGTATCAAATAAAAAAATTATTTATATTAATGTAAGTAAATATTGTTGGCTAATTTTATATTATGTAATTATATGATATGTATCGTTTGGGAGGGGAGAATAGAATTATGGGAAAATTGTACGGAAATATGTGTCTGTATGTTGCAAGGAACATTTTATGGTGGGGGGGGGGGGGAATGGCTCTTTTTGAATCCGAAGGGATCAAAATTGATAGCCACTGGCATCCGATCATATAAAGATGAAACACAACAAGCAAATGAAAATGCAAACAGTTGAAGAATGAATAACCACCATATGATTTTATCGTAGGAATAGCATAAGTTTGTGGATCATATCTTCAGTGGATCTAAGTACAGAAGAAAATGAATTAATGTAGATTTGGTCATATACATATATACTTGTGATTTTGGTCCAACCCGCTGGCAGAATGGACCCATCGACATGTGATTTTTTGGGGGCTTGATTGATTTGAGACAGTGACATTATCTGCTTATGGAATATATATATATATATATATTTATATGTTCTATATAATAAGAAAAAAGTACCGGGAATTGCTGCAATATATAAGCAGATCATCTGTTTACTTAAATTAATGAAATTGATGGGATTAGTAAATTTAATATGATTCAACTAACATCTTGGACTCCTGCAATATTTACATGGTAATAATAATAATGAAGTTAAATCAAACAGGGACCACACGAGGACATGATAATAATATAGACTAGTATTTTATTTAGTACTAGTGCTAGTATAAATTTGAAAATGAATGATTCACCTTCACCGAAAGCTCGATTTATAAGCTATCAAAGCTTATCTAATCTTATCTTATCTTTTTTTATTGTTGTTAGGTTTTATAAAATAAAAAACAACTAAAATCATGCTATAATAATAATAATAATAATAATAATAATAATAATAATAAATAAAAAAAAAGAGAATATACTCCATACATCTTACTTAAAAAAAAAAAAGATTCTTATACGCGAGCGAATCTGATGATAGCATATACTAGATACTATATAATTATAATGATTATCCTAAAATTTTTTCTCCTTGCTTGTGCTTTGGTGGCAAATGGGTAATTTTGTTTCTTATCAGGTGAGTTCATATTGTTTTAGATTCAAATGTATCAATTTTGAAATTTTCAGGTTATTTAATTTTAAATAATATAAAAATATAATCATTTATCATG